AACTTGTATTTCCTTAGATCAGGGTTTTGCGTCAAGCTTAAATCAAGAGATACAGTAGAGAAGATACGGTAATGTCTGGCGCAAAGTTTATACTTTGCCACGCGCGCGAGACCGACCGTGCGCCGAGTCGAGAGGACCTTAAATTATCGTGTGAAGAAAACCTGAAACAGTCTGCAAACAACTATTAAGATCACGCAGTTTAGACACTTTCCTTTTGAAAGTCTCAATAAATGCGTCTACGACCCACGCGTTATTCTTGCAGGGATATCTAAACGTCCTTCGACTTGTTAAGCGCGATTAAGAATGGATCTGGATCTTTGTTTTCCCGCGTGACAGTCGTCGAATTTCGTGATTCGCTTACACGATCAATGGCTAAATGCCACGTACGTCCGCGTTTATTTAAGGTACTTCGTAGGGATACATTAGACTGGCTCTATGCATATTCATCGAGGATCAGTTGCTTATATAGCCTTGCTTGGCAACTAGCCCTGTCCGATGGCATCGTACATGGGCTCCTCAAGGATTACGAAGGCTCTAGCCGTTGCACAGACGCACGCAGATTTAGATAATCTTCTGATGTACTCAAAAATCCTGGTGGATACCAAGGATCCCGCTTAAACTAGAGAGCAACGTAAATTATCTTCCTTAATTCTTTCCAGAAGTAGGACTAGCCTGGTTAACTGGCGTTGGGAATTTTATCGCGTTCGGGAGATGAGTCGAAATTTTCTCTTTATCGCGGGGCTTATCAGAAAATACAGGGGCGTCGCTAGATACAGATTACACATAGCGCTGTAACTTTTAGACGGGATAATCGTCGGAGAAGACTAACCACGCTAACTGACGCCGACGTGACAGAATCCGAGAGAACGGTACACATATGCACGCGAACGTATCCGCTTTGCAAATTCTGACGTAAGAACGAAATAAAAAAAACACGTGCACCACGCGTGACGAATACGTTCGATCTGTTTGACGTCTCGTTTGCGAAGCTTAACAAACGCGACAGTTGCAAAATCGTCGTGTCGTACCCGCGAGCTTCGGACCGGTTCCCGGTCGTAGACTCGTTAACCGATTATTTCAACGAATTTCTCGCTATTCGTTGTAACCGGTTAGCTGTCGGTAAGAACCGATCCTCTCACGAGGCTTCGGGTCTCATCTCGCCAGTCTCATTTACTTTAACGTTTAATCCGAGAAACACGAGGGGGAAACCACTGAGGGCATTGTGGTGTACATATTTGCGGAATTACTGGGCATTACTAGGCATTTTTAGGGCATTAGTTTGGGTATTAGGCCTTGCTGGGGCATTATAAAAATAAAATAAGATGATAAAGCTAAAGTAGTGCCCACTGGGTGTTTCACATTAGTGGGCGTTGGTGTACAAGATTTTGGTCAGCGGTTTCCCCCTCGGAGAAACAATAAATATGTAGATACGCTTCGGAGTCACTTCCCTCGGTGTGCTTTAGATTTCATCAATGTTGCTTAACTTTAAGCTTAGCTCGATTCATACTTTGTCTCTTTCCAACTGTTCTCTTAGAAACAGATTAACAATAAGATTAAAATTAATCGACGTTGGTGAAACCGAGCCCTAAGGGCCAGTTTCACAAACGTCGGTGAACTGTTAATCAGAGTTCAGTCGATTTCCTACCTTTTTCCATCTTGTTATTTCAGAAGAGACGTAGAATCCATTCACCTTCGGTTAGCAGTTGACCGACGTTTGTGAAACTAAAAGATCGAGATACTCAGGCCCGGTTTCGCCAACGTCGCTTTAAGCTTAGCTTAATTCATTCTGTCTCTCTTCCTAGCTGTTACTTTAGAAAGAGACAAACGTGAATTAAACTAAGATTAAAGTTAAACGACGTTTGGTGAAACCGGGCCTTAATTATGACAAGCGCGACGAGCGAAGCATCTCTATATCGCGAATTAAGCGTTAGTTAACCGACTGTCTAAACTCGCTAGGCGCATTTACAATTTCCGTCGGCGGGGTCGTTAGCGCCATTGGATTTGCATACCCGATCATTAGCCACCCTGCGCGCGCGGTAACCGTGCGCCGTTTAATTAAAAGCTAATTTGCTTAAAACATTACCGCTTTGTTCCGGTCCAACTTATTTGCACGGAGTTTTATTTCACGTTGTACGTACGTCTCGCAACGCGGCTCATCCTCGACAGATTCGATCGCTACAGGTGAACGCGGGGACAAAGGCATGTATAGAATTGAGAGTCGATGACGCACCATCGATCTCGAGAGATACACAGTATACTTGTCTCGCGCTGCTCGTTTTACACCGAATTCGGTTGCTCGCACTAGTGCAGGCAATCGAATTCGCTATTAGATAGGCGACTGTGCAGTCAGATTCAATAAAGGGCTGCGCGATATCTCTATTCCGATAACAACGGGGTCGTCTTACGATTAGAGGAAAGCAGCGATATCGCCTGCAATACTGCTGACATATCGCGTCTCGCACTTGTAAGAGTTGCGTTGACAAACTCATTTGTTTATCTGTGCTTTCGCGCGTCGCAGATCGGCGCGGCGATGGAATCTGTTTACGACAGTTTACGAACCTCGCAGGTCCAAGGTTCCCATAAACTCCGCCGCAGTTCAAGGACGCGCGTCCCGCGAGGGAACCTCGGCAGCTGACGCTTTCGCGCGATTTCTCATCCCGCGAAATTGAAGGGAGGATCTTTCTTCCCCCCCGCGACTCTCGGCGACAATTTGCCGAGACGCCTGAAGCAGGCAAATTGGCGAACGTCTCGGCGAGTATTTCTCCCTCTCTCTCCCCATCACCGCGTCGTCCTCCTCGCGTACTCTCTTCCCGTTAATCGCGGTGCATATCGTCGCGCGAGACTTTGAAACTCTCGCTTTCACTCGTCCAATTCTGCGGCTTCCGCCGTCTGCATTCCGCGGCCGGTCTCTGCCTGCCGCCGTTACGTCGCTCGCAACGACATTTTTGACATTGAACGGCACGTTTCGAAGCTTCGGTTCCAAGTTTCCTTCTACCTTTGCACGTTCCGGCGATTTTACGTTCCCCAAACGTCGCTTGCGTAAGAATGAACGATAACCGCGCGGGCTGTACGCTTCCTCGTTGCCTATGCACATTCTATATGACTTCTTTTCTTGCGTTACGTTCTCGTGTTAATGTCCTTAAAAGGCTTACTCTTCCTATGGTTTCCACAAAGTTACTTTACGCACGTCACCCCGCGCAGCTTCTCCGCTGAAATACGTTTTCCCGATCGTCGAGAAAATGACACCCGGCAGGACAAAAAACAACTACGCCAATCGAAAGCGATAAATTAAACAATGGATAGCGCGCCGTAGCGTCAGCTGGAGATCGCTCGGCGATCCGACGATGACTCTCGTTTTAACGAGCGACGATAAGTGAATATTACATAAAAGGGAGCCGCTCTCGCTGCATGCATCCGATAAAGCGAACAGTCATTCATTCGGAATTGCGTCAATCATTAGGCCCCATCAGGAGACCCATTGACTTAGGCGCGAATCATTACGTCCCGCGACGCTTCGTTATCCCGGCCGGTCGCAATTAGCCCGGCGGTGTGAATAATAGGTTTCGGATAGCGGCAAGCGGTTCACGGCGCGCGCGTTTGCAAACCGCTCCGAAGGCCCGTGCAAAAATGTAATACCGCACGGAGAGAATTCCCTTTAAAAAGTTATCCTGAAAAATTATGTAATCGTGGAACAACACGGCATTTCAAAGAATTTTAATTTTAGTAATTGTACTTAATGTACACTTTACCAGTAAAATGTATGGTAAAATTTCAAAAGGCTTCTCGTAAAGTTCTTCAAAACGCCACGTTGTCTCGCGATCACACGATTTTCAGGATAAAGAGTGAGAACAAATGTCTATAGGCAAGTGGCCCCATTTCTTTCGCATTCGATTTTGGTCACGAAGTAGGCACCAAACGAAAGGTCTCGTCTAACCGAAGGTTAATTGATTCTCTGTCTTTTAACTGAATATTCAGATTGTTAAGACAACTATCTGATTGTTTTTCATTCATTAATACTTGTCTCAACGATTTTATTTCAATTACACTGATCTTGTTGAACATCTTTTTTTTCCGTGCAGTAATTTCCTAGTAATTTTTTTAATACTTTATTTGGTTATTAATTACATTTCTGTAAGGGGGAAGCGATGCGCGCCGCGTATATCGCGTCGGGCAACAACACGCACTCGAATGCTTTATAAATAACGCGCGTCTCTGTATGCTCCCGCGAGAGTCCACACATGCATGCACGCTCGCCCACCGAGGCGCATTATCTTCCGGCAGATTAGCGTGCACGTAGCGACGTATTATTGACTGATTGCCCGATCTAATTCCGTCAGCCGGCGAAAAGTATCGTGTACCTCTCGCTGGCATTTTCGGCGCTTTAACACGTGCGCTGTTGAGATGAAGCTTATTACTTGGCAAGCGCAACGTCGGCACACGCGCTTGACACTGATGGTTGGTGCTCCGTGTAATTTCGACACCCTGACACTTGGTGCGACGCGATCGAAATTGAAGAAAGTCTCTCGACAGTATTTAACATCCCAAGTGTTCTCTCAATCTTTTGGAGTAAAATATCTTCAAATGAATTAAGTCACTCTATTGGAGTAAATATTCACACGAATAGAGTGAAGTGGTCGGTGACACCATGATTCGAGTGAAATTTCACTCCAAAACTTTTAGAGAACGGAAATGAAAAGTCAGGATGATGTCAATTGGACGTTGACCAAATTTATGTTCATATTTTGGTCAATATGACATCAAATTGGCGTCACCTTGACTTTTTATCTCTCCTTGGGTCAACGCGACGTCCTATTGATCATCTTGACTTTTCACTTCTCCTTGGGATATTGCGTAGCGATTAAATTATATCATGTGTATAAAATCTAAAAGTGTGCACTTGTATTTGTTTGAAAAGTTTATTAAATCGAGCAATCGTACGAGATAAACGGAGACGATCGGCGGGCCGGGGGTCCAGAAGATAGATAACGTCTTATAACGGGTCCCGACCGATACGCGGTGATAGCGAAATGTTATAAAGTGCGCGACGCGCCTTTCCTCGCATGCAGACGTGGAAATCCGTGTTGGCTGCGACATTCGTCGACCTCCGGGGAGAGCCGTGCCTCCGCGCGCGGACCAATCGCGGACCGGTCCTTTCACCGGTCGGAATTCGATACTCGTGCTGAAAAGGCCGATTACCGGCTATCCTATTCCCTTTCGACTCGCGCCGCCGAGAGCCGACAACGTGCGCGAGCGAGATTGGATCGCGACCTCGTCGAAGGCCCGCCTGCTGCTCCTTTCGTCGCGGAGGATCGCCGAGGACCGGACGTGCGGCCCGCGAGTCTCCCTGCAGGATCGTCGTTCACCCATGAGTCTCTCGATCGCGCGATCGCCCCGTTAACTCTGGTCGCTGTCTGGCTCGTGATTAGCGCGCTATCGTGGCCGATAAGAACGCGTGAAATATGTTGACGTGTTACATGACCGCGCTGCAATGCGAGTGGATCGAGAATCGCAGGCGGTGGAATTCCGCCGGTCCGCCGCAATCGCGACTGAGGTCGGCTCGAGTTGGGAATCGCGTGTATATAATTACGGCGGTGTCGAGAGAGACGTCGGAGAAGTACACGGCGGGTAATAATGAACACCGTCCGTTTGCAGGAACAACGTCAACGTCGAAGGCGCCACTCACAAGCAGGTGGTGGATCTGATCAAATCGGGCGGCGACGTCCTCACCCTGACCGTCATCTCCGTGACGCCGCAGGAGGCGGAGAGACTGGAGCCCTGCGAGGATCTCAGGTAATAACGACGCTCGAATGCAAGGGGGGAAATTTTACGGCTTAGGTCCGGTTTCACCAAACGTCGTTTTAACTTTAAACTTAGTTTAATTTATGTTTGCCTCTTTCTAAGGTAACAGTCGGAAAGAGACAGAGAACGAATTAAGCTAAGCTACAAGTTAAACAACGCTTAGGTGAAGCCGGGCCTTAGGTCCGGTTTCACTAAACGTCGTTCAACTTTAAGCTTAGTTTAATTCATACTTGCCTCTTTCTAGAGTAACAGTCGGAAAGAGACAGAGAACGTTAAGGCGACGTTGGCGAAACCAGACCTTGAAAAGAAGCGTTTTTCGACGATACTTCTGATATCGTCGCGATTATCTCGTTGATAAGACGATTCTAATAACTGGCAATCTCGCGATTTATCTAAGTCGATCGATTAAAGCACATACAAGTATCAAAGGGCATTATATATATTTTTTTTAGCTACGCATCGGTGGACTACAGCGAGAAGCGATCTCTGCCCATCAGCGTGCCGGATTATCACGTCCGCGAGAGGAAGCACGAGCGTTTCGTAGTCTTCAACGTCCACATGGCCGGCAGGCACTTGTGCTCGCGCCGATATCGGGAATTCGCGGCGTTGCATATGGCGCTGAAGAAGGAATTCATAGGCTTCAATTTTCCGAAGCTGCCGGGAAAATGGCCATTCCAGTAATGTCCTCACGCTTAATTTTACACGTCGCTCGTAAAGGTCGCGTCCGACCGCCGGAATGAATGAGTCCATTCAGTATCGTGGCGCGTCTTGTAATCGAACCGTACAGATCTCGTAATATTCACTGCAATCGGCGCGTTTTACCACCGTTCCTCTCCGTGAAAAACGAGATACATCGTTTGCGCGTATCTCGGAGAATAAGTCCCCTTATTTACGTTGCAGATTGAGCGAGCAGCAGCTTGACGCGAGAAGACGCGGCCTGGAACAGTATTTGGAGAAGGTTTGCGCTGTGCGCGTCATAGCGGAGAGCGATGCCATGCAGGAGTTTTTGACGGATCGACTGGAGGAGGACGGCGATCAGGGCCCGGCGGTTGATCTCAAGGTTCTGCTACCCGATCGCGAAGTCGTCACCGTCACCGTTCCCAAGGCGGCGTCGGTGAAGGACGTCTACGACGCGGTTTGCTGCCGAGTCGGCTTGGACGCGGAAACCGCCAAGTACTTTTACCTGTTCGAGATCGTCGAGTACAATTTCGGTACGTGCCAGAACCGTTTGCCACTTCGTAATAAATTCTGAACAAGTTTACTGGAGGCTTATCCTGACGGTGGCTTGACACGACTATTGTGTTACAGAGAGAAAGCTGCAACCTCACGAACACCCGCATACTTTGTACATTCAGAATTATTCGACCGCCAGCGCGACGTGTCTGGCGGTGAGGAGGTGGCTTTTCAATATAAATAGGTCTCTGAGCGAGCAGGCATTGACTTGGATATTTTGGCAGACAATCGACGAAGTCAACAGGGGTCACATCACCGCGGGAGAACGATTGTATCAGCTGAAAGCTCTGCAGGATGCGTCGAGAAAGCACGAGGTTCGCACCGAGTGAGGAAAATTGCTTATAGATCTTGAACGCTTGTCGTCGCGTTCACGCGAGATCTTGTGTTTGCGCAGTATCTGAAATTGGCGAGGGAACTCAGCGGGTACGGCGACATTGTGTTTCCACACTGCGCGTGCGACTCGAGGAAGGAGGGCCACGTGGTGCCGGCGGTAGGCACGGCGACCTTCAAGTTGCACGCCGCGAAGGAGGACGGCACCCTGGAGTCGCAGGTGGTCGAGTTCCAATGGAGCACCATCGCCCGGTGGGAAGTGGACGAGGACGGGATGGCATTCTGCTTCCAATACACACGCCAGGACAATCGTCCACCCCGCTGGCTCAAGGTCTTCACCCCTTACGTAAGTATTCGCCATCTTTTCGCGACCTGGGGCTAGATCCTTGAATTTATTCGCAACGGCGAAACGTGTGCGAAAAGTCTGCTCTTCTGCAAGAGCAGAATTTGCGCATACGTTTACCTCGCGAATAAATTTCAAGAATCTAGGCTCCTGGTTTGCAACATGTGTAATTTCTCTACGCGAGTTCGCCACTCGATCCCTTACCTTGATACCGTGCTTGCAGTATACGTTTCTCTCGGATTGCTTCGATCGAATAGCCGAGGAAGCGAAGTGGGACGACCCAGGGGAATGACGTAACGTACGACGCTAAAAGGTATCCGGGTCCTGTAAAACGGGGTCCTTTCATGGGATATCTCGTGCTCGTCTCTCCGTAGTCGAAATTTTGTTTCTTACTAGGATTAGAGCAAGTCTTTAGAAACGGTACCGAGTTAGCGTAGCACCTTTAGCATATCAAATTTTCCATCTGTTGGCTTCGCCGGACATTAATGCTGTGCACCGAGAGAGCATTTGCCCAACATTGTCATCGAAAGAGTCAAATGCACCCGTGCAAGAATAGATGGAATCTCGGTGAAAGAAACGCTTCTACCAGAGAAACAAAATTCGATCGAATACTGCAACGCTCGCACGTAATTTAATCGAGAGCGAAATGTGATGTATAAATTTAAACGCGGATTTATATTGTACGCCGTGCTCGTCTACGACCTGGCGAGGCAATCTTGACGCAGCTCGAATCAGAAAATAAATCTGGTTCTTACGTATGCGATATAGCTGAGATTTTTGTTTCGTCGATAAAACACGTGTCGTTTTTCCTTCGTTACGATCAACAAAATTGCACACGCGATGACATGTAAGAGAATTAGTGTACAGATACACGTAGACTATTATTATAACTGCGGGGATACGGTCGCGTCCGCCTAGAAACCACCTATCCTTCTGGCCTACGAATTATGTATACAGCACGCACCTCGTTTTCCGGCGAGAGAATCGATCGTCTTACATAAAACGTTCCTTTTTGTTCGCCTAATAGACCCGAAACTCCCTTTCGTTAGATCTGCGTATCGATCGTGCGTTTAAACGACAGAAACGATATATCCTGTGCATTTTCTAATGTGCAATATTTTATAATAAATCAATAATAATTTGTCAATTCGTTACGCAGGATATTTTAAAACGAGAGGCACCGCTTTCGCACGTTTGTAAGGGATCTCAATAGTATCGATAGCGCGTTCAATTTATCGCTGTGGTAGTTCTCATCCATATTTTTTGCAAGCAGGCAAGATTTGTAAGATAAAAAAGCCACAGAAGTCTGGGAGAAAAGAAGAAATAGATACATATCATATTCATCGACGACTTCATTGTAAGCAGAAACGGATTCTTATTTTCCTTTTAAACTATCCTGTGTAACAAACGGATTCCTAACACACGCTTGGCTATGGCTGGTGCCACGTGTCCCGTAATCGATATGTAATATATCGATCAGTCCTCTACACGTTTTGTTAGTTCATTAGTATGTATAAAGTATTAGCGTCGATAAATGGTAGAAGAAACTGTACATATTAACATTACAAATATATATACTTTTTGAGAAGAAACTCAGTTGTGTATGTGTGTATGCGTGCGTTTTGATAAGATCGATAATGACTTGATCGCAAAATTAATAACTGGGTGTCGCGTAACGCTGAACCGACGATCTGATACGCGAAATCACCAAGTGAACCGGAGGATGTAACAAGAGTCGAGGACTATTTTTAAATCGACGTTCGCGACTGAGAAACTTTATCTCGGGCTACTCCCCCCTCAATGAACTTGTAAAGATATTATACAGTGAGAGAAATGCGGTGTTACTGCTCATCTTTCGATTACGTAAGCGTGAACGGAATTTAGTAAAGGAGGAAGAGGCGTAAAAAAAAAAATAACAACTCGGAACAATAATGTAATAGAGTCGTGTGTGGTAATGGTATCCTCTATTACCTTGTACGAAGAAAAAATAATACTCATTAATAATGTTAAAAAGACGTATTGATAATAACAGCAAGTAAGAAACATATAAGGATAACGTTTAGCACCAACTCTGCGCGTTGCGGGATTTTGTAAAAGGCCGTAATACGCATTTGGCATAGATATCCACAGTAGAAAGCGAATATTTGGGGCGATTTTTTATTCCTTGCACACGATTATGATGCTCATGATCTGACCGTTGGTTTTTTCCACTCTTCTTCTTTCCTTCCTTCCTTTTTCGTTCCTCCGCGCATGCATCCTGCTTTCTCGCAGCACTCGAACCCACTCGTTCTAAACATGCCGCTTACTTAACTGAGAGCAGTTTCAGCAGATAATAAATAGAAAGATAGATATATTATTACCGTTAACGTTTTTAAACTTTATTCATGGAGTATCGAGCGCGTGCGACGAATGGAAAATGTGTATGTGTGTTGCAATGTAAAATCCGAATGACAAGAGAGAAGATAAAAATATATATATGCTCGCGAGAGAGCATAGTTATGATACTGTTAATGATAATAGAAATATAGAGCATAATATAGCGTAACTATAACCGAACGCGCGAGTATCCAAGTGAACACTCATACAAGACGATCGATATACGATGTGATATATTCGCGCGTGCACCTAGATATTCGAGCGAACAAGACAGTTACAATAATGGTTTCTATTGTTTTGTCGATAGAGAAACAGAGAGAGAGAGAGAGAGAGAGAGAGAGAGAGAGAGAGAGAGGGAGAGAATTGTGCAAAGTGATCTGTGAATTGTAGTTAGCAATACGTGCGTCCGGAAATGTTGTTATTGGTGATAAATAAATCTGAATGAACCTTCGGGTGGTCACCCAACATTTACATAATTTAGGATCCGCAAACGAGAAAATTCGCAATGCAGTTCTAGTGAATGCGTTCAATAGTATTTTCGCACTTCCTCTATTTAAAGCGATATTACTGAAATACGAAAAACCCGAAGGTCTCATTGGTTATTATATCACCGGCAGCAGAAAGATTCTCTCGAAATAACGCGTCAAGACCTTTCGTGGTTTCGTTGATCGGTGAATAATTAAGTAATCGAGTGAATAATTTTCGAATCGGAAGAGAATGTCTGCGGTAGCGGAGCAGCCCACGTGTTTAGAGTATGGCAATAATATTTATAAAGAAACTGAGTGTGTTAATTGGTAGCGAATATTTTTCGAGAAAATCGTACGGGGTGATTGCAGAGATACGTCCAAGTTGAATTTGAGACTTCTGATGCGAAAGATCTGAAGATAGTCGGGTTAATGATATTTTGTACAGTTTTGTAAAATTATCTTTATCTTGCAGTATTTTTTTATTGCAATTCGGTCATTGCCTTACGACAGTTTTAGTGTCGTAAGCCGAGCGAATGCGTCGAGAAGTTGCCTTTTATTTCGAGAGGCCGTTCGACAAAAGATTTCGTTTATTTTGTATTCGTTCGTTTTGCAAAATGTCTCTCACTAGGAAACGAATCGATTTGTTCAATCGTTTGTTATCGCATTAATTAGCGTGCTAACGAGCCTGTCAAACACAGAATGACGAATTAGATAGTATAATTTAATTATTGTTATTACAAGACCATATCATTACGGTTAACTCTTTAGGCGTTAATTAAAATATTCCGTATAATCATAGTACGTAATAACAAATGCTCCAATTTACCGTATAACATCAGTTCGCGAAACGTTTGCTGTAAAACTAGTATTTCGAGTTAGCGAGAGAGGTATTATTCAATTTCTTTATGAGCCATCTTATTGAGAAGCGTATAATAAAAGCAGAAGAAATAGAACACTTGTTTGCGTGCCTTTTTTAACGGTGTATCCCGCTTATTATTATTATAATTACGCGTCGCAGATAAAGTAACGCGATAAATACAATCTGTGCAATCGTCATTACGTAACGCGAGTAATCTGAAATGAATCTGATAAAGCGCATTCACGTGTACACACGAGCAAACAGTATCGAGATGAAACAATGCTGCAGCTTTTCCAGCACCGCAACATAGGAACTTGTCCCGTGGAAGAGGAGGACCCGTGCTGGTGGAATCCCATCGCAGAATAGAGAATTTTCAATTAGATCGTCGTGTCGTTTCCATTAATTCGCCGTGTTTCCATACGTAAAACCAAACAATCTCGCGGGCAAATTGACAATAAGCTTACATGTAAGCACCGGTGTCACGAATGCCATGCGGGAGGGATTACAATTCGCGTTGGAAATATTCCAGCGGAATGCGGCCGTGCGCTGCCCATCAAAGGAGGATAACGCGCGATGTTCCCCATTATAATTACTACTATCTCGGATTAAAGTCCCCGGTCGTAAAGTATGTAAGCACAAATAAAACTCGAAGCGAGTCGTGTACTCGCGTAATATTGCCGTGTAATTTTCGCGCACTAGTGTACAAGGTAGATGTACACATTCTACGTAATACACCTTTGTAACCGATGCATGCAGGCTCTCGCGTGTGCACGCGACCTCGTATATGCGATACCGATACATGCAAGGCGGTCTGAGAAGATATCGCTAAGTGGCCGCCGATATACGGCACGACAGATCAGTTTAAGACCACCTGCCCCGGAAGGTGGAACTCCTTTGTAGAGATATCGTTTGTCGGTGACCGCGGATTTAATCCAATCGCCGCCGGCTTGACGCTAAGAACAGCTTAGAGGATTGTGGTAGTCTGAAAAAAAATGGATCGTGTTAAAAAAAAGAGGAAGAAGACAGGTGGTGAAAAGGTAGTCGTTTAAGTCGAATTACATGTGCGACTTCTCTGGATTTATAAAAAATTCAAATTAATATTTTTAATATTAAAATCTAAATTATTTCTTCGTGACATCTCTTAAAATATTCAAATTATTTCTTTATGATTTTATAATATAAGAAATTTTTGACAGCTCTTTCAGTTCTTTATGTTATTATAACAATGAAATTATATACAATTAGGTGTAATTCGTAACATTTCTCGTTCGTTCCAAAAAAACTATCAAAGTTTATATTTATCATCGTAACAACTTTTATAATACTTCGGGGATAAAACTCCTTTCCTGAAGAAAGGATTAACAACTCAATCGCAAAGTCATAAAATAATAATAAGATCAGGACAAGTGTTACAATATTTGCGTCGGTTTCTTTCTTAGCAGAGACAAAATACTTACAAAAGATTAAAATCTTTATTGATTTGAAAACATCCGCCTTATCGATGACGTTTGTGAAGATAACAGATGAAGGAAGTTGACAGTCACAAAGTTAAATTATATCGGTATTTTTAACCAGTATACACTACGTTGTAAATCTAATTGTTATAGTTTGAGAAGGAGTTCAAATATATTATATAAAGTGTTATGCAATGCAATGTAACAACTTTAATACAATTCTGAAGTAACTCTGACAGATTAATTGTTTCACGTATGTATTAACTTTTCATATTTACTCATTCCGTTACTGAGACAACTAGTAGTAAAGTTTATAACAAATTGTTTCATTACCACCGTTTATTCCCAACACACAGTTTAATATTAATTTATTTAAACGTCAACTTCTTTTTTCATTCAAGGATGTTTTTTTTATGTCTACTGTTAAAACGGGAGAATTTTTTACTTTCTCGTCACAAAGCGAGATAGGAAACAAAAATGATTTAATAAATGTACTCGACAATAGCTTCGTAGTTTGCGAAATGCTGCATTATTATCCGATCGCGCGCTGACCTGAATTCTTAAGAAATCTCGCGATTCTTCGTACTCAATTCCAGTATTTTACTGAGATCATCGGTGCAATTTCATCATCATTGTGATACGTTAAAATAACAAGGAAAAATTGATATCTGATTAAAAACTGCGATTATCAAGAAAAATGCATACGTATCGTGAAATACATTATTCCTTCATATTTGCATAGAAATAACATTAGTTTTGACCACTACTTCAAACGTTTGCCTCGAAAGGAAACAATAGTTTTACGCTCGAAACGAATTGTGACAATTCAAACGGGTCTGCATCACGGTTGACCGACGTTGCAAAGATTTTCCTGTTCCGTAACGCTCTGATGGACAATATTTCATGCCCTAACCAGCTCTTCTTATTAGTCATGACATAACAATCACATAAACAGTCACTCGTTATGGATTCACGCGTCATTACGTAATGGAGCTAAGAGAAATCGAACTGTCACACTGTTCCACGTGATTCATCCGTCTAGTCTGTTTGGCAAATCGGTAAATTTCAACGACTAAAGGCGTTAAACTTGTTTAAGGAGTTAGAATTATGTTCCTGGCAAATGATTCACGTTCAGTAGCAAAAGACCAATGTGCCATTACAGTATTATTGCGTTAGGATGAACACGTGCCGTCATTGCCTCAAAGTTACAGACTTTAAAAATTACATTATACATGATTCGATCGGACGATTCGGTTGGAAACTATTTACTAAGATTTACTTTCAATTTGTTATTTACGTATCCACTTGACAAACCATATCTTTTAATGTACTCGTTACATGTGATTGCGTTTCATTTTACACATTACTTTTGTACAATTAGTTGGAATTTTTATTTTTAATTTCACTTGTATCTGTATATTAAACACGTGCCAGTTAAGGTGGACGAAACTTATCCATTGTTACTTGTTACTGGCAACCTAAAGAGATTATCATGTCTACGAGTTTACGTAAAGAAGTTAAAAGTTCACTTAAGACATTTTAAAGTAATTTTCGGACACATAGCCAATCACATACTTTTTACAATTCTTCTTTTAAATTCTTGAAGTAAGTTTCAAGTTTACTTTTAATAAAAGTTTTAAGTGTCCAACTTTACTTTTCATACTTCTTCTTTTTCTAAGGTAAAATTTCAAGGTTTTTCTAAGGTATATTTTCCCAAGGGCTCTCCTCCCTCCCGGCGAAAAAGATCGCGCGCCCGGAAGGATTTCCGAATTTCTCACGTTGCCGTATCTTTCCCACGAGTGCACTTTTATAATTGAAAGTCAGCCTCGTCCCGATCGGAATCAGACGCAAAGAGAGAGAGAGAGAGAGAGAGAGAAAGAGAGCGCGTCCACCGCGGATAAGTTTAACGAGACTTAACGAGTCCACTCACACAGACGGCTCCAGCGACCGCCGTTCTCGCGTTTCGCCCCTCCCACGCTGCCCAGATCTCTGGTGATCATCATCTCGTCTCTGTTCTACGACGCAGAAAGTGCTGCTATCCATCGTCGATCCTTGGGACGTGAAGGTGGCCAGTGTTGATCCGGTCGGACTGGCCGAACGACGGGGCGTCTCCCTGTCCGTCTTACCCTCTAATCAGAACGAGGGTACCAGCCAGGAGTGGCCGACCTTAGGCAGGTCCCTCAAGATACCTTCGCCCTGGTACAAACCTGGTACCGGCTCCTCCGACCATGTCAGCTCCGCCAAACCCGAGGAATCAAAAGCGTTGATCGATCCCATCTGGTCGGACACTTGGTCTCCATCGCGAAGGTATCCTCAATTTCTCTTCGATACGCTAATAAAGAATGTAAAAATTACTATCACTCGCTTGGCACGAGTGAGATTTTGGTAACATGAAAACTGATGAGAACAAAACATTTTTTCTCTCTTTTTCTTTATTCAAATATCATATACTTTTAAACTGAATTTTATATAATTCTTGTAATTATATATTTATTAATTCGACAAATTTCTTGAAATAATCAAAAACGTGATGAAAAAATGTAGCGTATCGATAATTAATTAACGTAAATCAAAGTCACCATTAATTTCTTAACGATGTCGCTTGTTGCGTCTCGAAGGTCGCCCGGCAGCAGGACTTGCGATTCCCCGTCGCCGAGTCCACCCAAGGAAAGATTACGAGATAACAGGCAGAGAACCGGCGAGACAAGGCACGACGAGGCGGGCGAGGTCGACAATGGATTAATCAAGGCTCCGCAGGAAATTAGCCGCGACGGTTTCGATGATGTGGACGGTGCAGCGGCGGTGCGAGTGCGTTTCGAGATCGACGGAGCGGAGCCGGAGCGGAATGGAGTGCGATGTGAGAACGGACGGGATGTCGACGGTGCGCCGCGAGTGTTGACGAAAAATCAGATCGCGAACGATAATTCGAGGCCCGAGCGACGCGAAGAACGACCGATCGCGAAGCAGAATCGCGCGAACGGAGTGGATGCGGCAAAGAGGCAGAAGAGTTTCTCGCGGCGAACGAACGGTGATGTGGGAGTCGGTGAGAACGTGAAAGATGCAAATGGCGAACGGGACTATTCTCGGATAATCGAGGAGAAGCCAGCGATAGTCGACATCGTTCAGCATTTGGTGGAGTCCAGGTAATTATATACTGAAAATACTGTACGCTGTGTGCGAGTATACTTGAGGTCTTCGTTTCCTTTCTCTCTCTTTCTCTTACTCATTGCTCCGGCTGAAACGAGATCAATGAGATAAAACAAATTTGAGGAAGCTCTTATTTCTTCGAAGCTTCTCCACAGAATTACGGAACGGTATTAAATAATGACTGTCATGAATATCCTCTTAAATCTAATCGCAAATGAGAGACGAGGGAGGAGAATGAAGGCCTCGCAGCGCGAGTTTTATTTTACACGGCGGAACTTTGCAATTTCTTTTTTATATTTTGAGGTACAGTCCGCAAACCGCGACGGAGAGGAGAACAAAAAGGATGCCGTCATGTCGTCGTCAAGAGACCTCGAAGGAAATAGATCTAGTGGGTAAGACGTCGGGTGTTCTATATTAAAGTGTAGAACAGGTCGATGGTACGAGATGATTCAGAGAGAATTATGTCGGAATTAAAGCGAGATCTTCCGGTAGTTTAGGCTTATTAGGGTTGTTCAGGATCAGCCAGTGCGCCAACCACAGTACAGGATCGGCCGGTCTCTGCTTGCAACACTGTGGAGAGAAATTTGTATTTAGAATTAATCCCAGGCTATTGAGACGAAAAAATTGTCCGCAAAATATGTACAAATTTTCATTGGCAACGATCACTTTACCAATGTTAGACCTTCGACGAGAACCGGGTTGATAGTCTCCCACATAAAGTCTTCAACCATCTCGTCTCTCAGCAAGGGCTCAGTCACAACTGAGGAAAAATACGAAGAGACTTCTAGGTTGACTTCGGAATAGCGCTACTGAAATTAAGGACATTAACTATAGCAGAGAAATATAAAACAGAAATTAATTCTCTACAGTCGGGAAAGAAAAAGTGGATCTCTCTCTCGGCCCGCTCGTGGCTGCAGCTGCCGTGGACGGCGTTCTTTAAGTTGTCTCCTTTGCGACCGTATCTCGCTCGGATGCTGTCAGGAAAATACAAACGCGCTTCGGCCACCTAAAACGATTCTTAAGATAAGTCTCGGTGAAAAGGAATCGATTCCTAAAATATTCTTTGAGGACTCTAATATGTAGATGAAAGTCCTCTATTATGAGATGGGTTTCTAATATGAGATAGCAGGTTTCCAACACTCAAATTCAATCACAAATCCTTTTTCGCCACGAGTACACAATCTAACAGTGATTTTTCCACTAAACAGATTTCGCACCGAGGGCAATAAATTCATGGTGGATTCAACAGATGATGCCTATTAATTTAACTGAAACCACGCTGTCTCATACTAGAAGCCTATCTCATAAGGAACTTTCCTCTATATACCGTGGTCGGCCCTATGAGTCTCTTCCATTCTTCAACAGCGTTCTGCTTTGCTAACACAAACGCTATAATGGATCCCGAGGACATGTATGCCACCAGATGAGGAAAACTCAGTTCGCCGAAGCGATTGCTGTAGAATTCCGCAACCTGTTCGGGTGTCAGCTGCAACCAACGGGTCTGACAAATCTCGAATCCTTCCTCATATATTCGACGCTCGATTTCCTTCCTGTACACCACCGCTTCCGGCTTTATTATGGCTAACGTGTACTCGATGTCCGGTTCCTTCTCCACAACCTCCTCGATTCTGTCGGTCCCCAAACAAACCGGCGATAACTTAAAGCCCTCTTCTTCGCCGGAATAATCATACTCCGTGGGACAAACGAATTTGTACTGCAATTATCAACGTAATTATTTATCCGCGGCAAGTAATCTCTTCGGACGATTTTATTGTGTTTTAATCAGTCAAATTTTTTATCGAATTGCGTTCCAATCGATAACGTACCGTTCTGCTCGACTCGCTAGAGGATTCCGTGTCTGTCGACGAAGTTTTCGCAGAAACGCATATCGCATCGCTGCTACTGGATTGCACGGAATTGGCCGGCATCCGATCAGAGCCGGTGAAAATTGCATGCTCAAGGATGTCCCTTCCGGGACGGTACGGCGCAGGACACTTCGAAAAAAGAGTTACGGTCTCCGGATCGACTTTCCCGACAGCCTTGTCGTCTCGCTTTTGCGAACAGTCGCACATTTTTATCTCGAACACAAGCCGAACGCTTTCTTTTGAGATTATTTTTATGATTATTTTATTGTGTCCGTTTTCATTTGAAAAAGATTCGATTGTTGACACAATCAATCTAATTCTCCTATTGACTTGTGTTATTTATATTTGCCAAGATTATGAAAGGTTATATCAGGCACGATTTTTGACATTTATTTGTTCTGCCGGCGTATAATAAAAGTATCAGCTTTTTGTTTAATTACTCTTGATCTCCGATCGGCGCCGCCGCTTCAATTACAGCGGTGTTTTCTTACGAGAGTTTGCGCCGCGATAAGTTAGCATATAGGACTTCCCACTTGCGTACGTGCATTCGTTTTCAATTCGCTAATATCGCCGCGAATATTTATACAACGATAACGACTTTGAATTATGCAAATTCAGAGATTATGCTATTGTTGATTGCTTAACGTTATTTCCGTAAAATTAATTATCACAACATACTTTAAGGCGTGCTCGAATGCTTGTAATTTTTATCCAATTATTCCACTCGATTGGCTTTCAGACTTTTCAGGCAAACCAGGTGATAATGCGAACGTTGTTGTTAACGCAGCCAAGCAGGAGAACAATCAAGATACCGCCAACGAGACGAATACGGTGAAAGCGTTGCCGGAAGTGAGGCCACTACGCGCCACGAATATAAGAAAGACCAGCATATCCATGCCCAGCAATCTTAACGAGATGGACGATCTTCGGATAGACAGACAAAACGTAAGTTGCATTTCTAATATAACCAACATTGGACCAATATTTGGCCAATGTTTAGCCAGCGCACTGTACTACTAGAGATAAGCTTATATAAATATTAAAAGTGGATGACGCAGAATGTATTGACGACGACGGAAATATTCTTCAGGTGTCGAAAAGAAAAAGAATAATATACGCTCGCCCGAAACCGAAGAAGTAGGTTCCGAGAGTCAAACAACAACATTCCGCGTATTTCGCACCCACTGAATCAATGTTAGTCTCTCTAATGACGTTCTCGTTTAACGTCATATCGTATCCGCTCGATTTCGCGCGTTTGTGAAAAGAAGCTCCGTCATGGTCAACGTGATTTCGGATGACTGATACGCGACAAGTCTCCGCTAAGGAAACAATTCGATCCGATCTGCGTCTTCGAGTCGTCCTTGGAAGCCTTCGTTCAACGACGATCGGTGATTGTTATATACAAGTCTCGTATTAGCTTCGTCGTCGCGTAAAGCGTTTTACATCGCGTCGTACATCGCACGAAAGAAGTGGAGGACCGCGAAAGCGGCGGAAAGGTAAACGATGAGTGGTATGGACCGGTACGAGTGGTACAAGATGGATGTCAAGGATCACAGGCACAGTTTAATGTATTCCTTGGAGAGTGCCTTGGCCGACGTTAAGAAACGCAAGCTGAATATCATTCAGGAGGTGCGGTTAAGAGCAATTTGCAAAACAAACTTGCGCAATGATGACGGATTGCTCAAATTCTGGAAACTCTAGCGATTTAAGAGAAGAAATGAATCCGCGACAAAAAAGAGAAAAATTATTAACAAACATTACGCGAATTTTCTACATTAAAAACAACGAGTGTAATTCTTTCTCATGATCTTCAATTTCGGGAAAACAGGACGAATCCAGGCGTTTCTTTCTATTGATCATCGTCTATTACAGTATTCATACTTGTGTGTCAGTTTAGAAAAAAACAAGATTTCTCGGTAATGTGTTGCGTACAATTTATCGTTTGCAAGTTATCCTGCAATATTCCACACTTACTCAGAAAAAACACGCAGTTCTAGCAGAGACATTCAATACGAACGCTGGCGTTATACCGTGCCGGTATTATTTTAGATTTTACTTCTTTTCAACTAGCATTTTTTATCATTTTCTACATTCTCTTTCTCTCCCCTTTTCTTGTCGAGGTCTAACTACATTTTTTTTCTTTGAGATACGCGAGATTTAAATAGATTGAAATGAGAAGAAAAATCTCTCTCGTAATCTTGAGGCTTTTTAATAGTTTAGTTTCAGATATTCGGTAAGAAACATAAGCTCTCGGTAAGAATGAAGGCCGATAATCACGTGTCGCATCGATTGGCGTATCAGCAATTTTTAATCGAACTGTGTACGCATACTTGTATTCAAGGATCATTGCCGTACGACGGAATTAGCGTCACGCTAATGTTTTAGCACGAAAGTCGAGAAATGCACTCGAGTGACGTTTCACTACAGAGAAACTGTATTGCCTAAAATATTCCGTTTCATATTTGGTAAACTTTTCACTTGATATACGATGTGCAATAAACGTTGATAAGGAGTGCGTTTCTGGGTACGGTCGTTGTACTTGATTGTTTATGGATCAGTGTGATATCGCAATTCGTATGCTTTTACGACGTTGTTAGAAATATCTCATATACTTTTGTTTACAACTTGCCAAGTTTATTTATTTGAGAAAAAGAACTTGAAAGGCGAGAGACGTGCATTTAAAGAAATACAAGATCCAATAAAATACTAATTAATTAATCGTAGTGACGTCTTATCGATGCCGCGTGATATTTTCCTCGCGAATCGAGTGTCAATGAAAAATAACACGAATACGAAACGTTGCAAATCAAGCGTGTCAAAGCGCAGCGCTGCTCCCGATACATCAGCGATATAGATGGGGCGCAGGTGAGCCTCGCTATTTGATCGATAAAGATAATTTACAGCCTTGCTCGACGATTTGTTTCATTGCACAGGTGCCGGCGCGGTTTAGGCACGCTTATTCACACCTGAATTCCGAATTGCGATGTTTCAGGGTACCGCCTCGAAATTTACGAGAGAGGAGAGCGTGACCAGCAGCAGCGTGACTTTCAGTAATAGCGGCTCGACACCGAATGGAAGTCCTCTGGGATCCGAAACTGAAGAGGAAGCGAATGACGAGGAGTTGGCCAAGTGAGTGTCAGACTCGGTGACCGATTAAGAGACGAATCGGAGAAGAAAAGTAGAGCCGCGAAGGCGACACTGAGAAAACTTTTTATCGGATAAACCAGTTAAATAGTGTTTCCGATGGTTAATTTTTCCGATTACGTTTTCCGATTGAATTCTAGATACATCCGATGAAATTTGATTGATCGAAAAACCGATCACATTTTTCATTGGATATGCAATTTAATCGGACACATCCGTTTGTTATTATGTAATTGTCCGATTACATTTAATCGGACATTTTTCTCAGTGCCGTGGTTCTGCGTGTCGTAGCTCACGATTCGTGAAATTGCACAAATTAGAAACGATACCATACGGCTCCGATCAATTTAGTGCCGGAATATCAATTTGTTTGATGAAGTGTCGTCAGCGGCTTCGGTCGATTTCTCGCAACATGCAATCCGCGCGAAATACAATCCAAGTGACTCTTTTCTATGTGAATTTTTATGTCAAATCTTCACTCAACGCATGATAATAGCGTAGCACAACATATTACACGCTGCCATGTTTGCCATTCCAATATTGATCCGGTTCGCACCTGTATTGACCCGTTTCAACCGCTTAATAAATCTATAAATGCACCGAACTTGAGATCGGAGAAACGGCACCGTGTAGCTTACTCGCAGGAGACGGATACCTCGCCTGCAATTTTCTCTCGACGATATGCGCTCTAAATGCCGCAATTTGCATTGTAACACCCCACTAGACGCATACACGAGGTACTGTTTATCGTTCTCTCGCTTGCGGTCGCGTTCCGACTGAGCAAATGAAACGTACGAGCGTATCTATCTGACCGTGTTCACGGTCATCGTAAGTATCGTCATCGTTGGCTCCGACCTTCCTTCATATCGCTTCAGGGTTATCGCGCTAGAAGAATTCGCTCCCGTAGCAGCCAGTTTCGGCCAACAGTCGCCGCTTGATCGCAATTACAGCTCCCTCGCTTTCTCGCGCGCATGTAATTGTTCAAAATTTTCTACAATTCTCCTCGCTTTTTTTTTCACATGTCAGCTGAAATATCGATTCATCAATTTATCGAAATACTAGTTTATTAATTTATCGATCAAAATACCGGTGTGTAATAAGACGACGAGATGATTCCCAGATATGATATCGGTAGCGCCGTATCGTTGCAAAGGTATATACAATGATGTGTATCAGTAGCCTCAGAAATTTCAAACAGAGATACTCACCATTTATTTATTTCGGTCTACTTTAGATAATCTATAATTACCCAGTGACAAATGATTAATCGATCGATGTCGAAACGTGTTGAATCGACGTCAATTTGACGGTGTCGATGTCGATCCAAGATCGTTTTGACATCGATCGACGAATCATTTCTCACTGGGTATCGACATCAGATTTCAGGATAGAATTTTAATTACAATTTCATATGCATATTGTAATATATTTATGTATACGTATATTTTGGCTCTTCTAGTGTCTTTCACACGTGGCAAGATAATAAATAGATTTCGAACTCCGACACAAATCGGATCGTCTTAAGTGGACTTTGTAGCCTTATAGCCAGTGATGATTTCGAAATTTTTCAGAGTGCCGCTACAAGCTCCGCCGCGAAGAAAAAGCAGAATCGTGTCGCCCTCAGTTAATGAAAAAATGGGGAACGACACGACGGAACTTTCGGGCGTGCAGAGCGCGACTTCCACGATAACAAGCGTGAACAGCATTAGCAGTCTTCTGAAGGAGAAACTGCAGTTATCGTTACCGCAGGCGTTACGCAGCAGTGCGAGACGTCAGAATGCTGACTACAGGTAAAGCGATCGGAAGGTGGAAACTGTACAAAATTGAAATAATGGACATATTGAAAAGTAGTACGAATTATACGCCGACGGCTCACATTGCAATAAGTGTTGGAAGGCATCTGATAATTTTTCAAGAATTCAATTTTCTCCAGGCTTAAAGCGTTCGTTGGCATCCTGTTCCTTTGCATCGTCTTCCTCGTGGGATTCGCTCACATTTACTACACTCAGCATGTCCTACAACGAGCTTATTTTGAAAAATTTAGGTGAGTACTTGCCATGCATGTCACATTTTGGTCAACATGAACATCAAATTGACGTCATCTTGACTTTTTATTTCTCCTTGGGTTACCATTGCGATCGATAAAACGTTACACATAAAAATTACTTTGCGCACGTATTGGCGCATTAGTCAAGGAGTGGTATTTCGATAGACGGCATCGCTTGTCGTCTACTCTGAAATAACTTTCGGTCATTTGCCTCTGCCAGGAGGAAGCGCCTAATGGAATACATTAAGGCTCGTTTATCATGCTGATCTCGTGTCAGTCTCAAAATGCGTATTCAATTGGTAGCCCAACGTGCACGCTTAGCTTTTCAGGGGCTGCATTATCTTAGAATCGTGGGAGGGAGACTTCGATAACGATTATCGAATATTTTACGCGACAATTTTTCGTCGTCACTGTATGTACACGTAATCGAGCTTGAGAAATATTTCCTACAATTTCCGCTTCACTCTTTGAAGAAAATCACCAAAGATTTCTAACAATTATTTATTAATTTTTTTTTAGATTTAATAAAAACGAAAGGATGATGAGAGTCTACAGCAGTACCGGGGCGGAGATCATCGCCGCTCGGCTCGGCGAGGGAATCCCACCGAACACAGGAGTGTATCCTTGCCTTCCCCATCATCAGCGACAGGATTCGGTCTGCCTCGAGTGGTTGCAGCAGACACGGCTTTACCTCGCGCATACGAAGCGCGAGGGTATGCACTGCTACCACGTCACCTGGCAGAGCCTGAGCCCCTACTACAATCCCAAGGACTGCTTCGACTGGTCCTCGAAAAGAGGCCATTGGTACGGCGCCGGTCAAATTCAGAATATGGTGTATCCCCTGGAACGCGGCCGGCTGGAGCTGAGCCCATTCATCACGGGCGACGTGAGAAAACATCCCTTCGGCAACGTGCTGAAGAGATACTTTCTCAATTCGAAGGGCGCTACAATCCTGGTGGATCCTGAGACGCCGCTTTACGTCTCCATTAACGCCAATCGTACCAACGACTTCTGCCTGCAGGCAAAACACGACGCCTTCGCCTACATCAATCACTTGACGCCGCTACCTCAGCTTAACTACACCATCTGCGCGACCGACAACATGAAGAGTCTGCACTCCTCGATGGCGGAGAAGTCACTGTGGGACGGTCTGAAGCCCGACGAGCTGCACGCCGTTCATTCTCTGCTGTCCGAACCAGTTTGGCAGATCTCGCCCACCAATGACCCAGCTATTTACAATTATACCGAAGATGTGATCGCGCTGGGTTTCCTCCGCCAGGGACACGTTCTGCTGAGCGAGGAATGGCAGCCCAGTCCAGGTGATTTCATCCTAGACGAAGAACGATTTCCCTCCATGGAGGAGACTATCAACATCATTCATCGCAGAGGATTTAGAATAGTCTTTAGTATCCAACCCTTTATCTCTACGGAATCCATCAACTTCAAGGACGCTGTCGCTAACAGATTATTGATCTCCGAGAGGGGAAGCGATCCTAGAATCCCGGCATTGACAAGGTTCTTAAACAAGATATCTATCTCTCGATATAAATTATTATACCAATTTTCGTAGCACATCTTATAATGTGTACGGTAATCCGGTCATTTTAAAAAGGATTCACATTTAATTTCAGGTACAAGCAAAGTAACAGCGCCGGCGTGCTCGACATTACGAACAACAAGACTTTACCCTGGCTGCAAACGAAGCTCGAGAGTCTCATCATGAAATACCACGTGGACTCGTTCTATCTCGACTTGGGCACTGCCCAGGATATGCCGCACTACTACAAGTGCGAGCAGCCTCTGACCAATCCCGATCATTACAAGACCATTTTTACTCGCTCGATACTGAGCACCGTACCCGTGATCGGTGTCTCCAGCGCTATTTCCAGGCCACGGGCACCCGTGTTCGTGTCCCTGCCGCCCTTCCCGTCATCTTGGAAGGCCATCAAGACCGTCATTCCCACCGTCCTCAGCTACGGTATGATCGGCTACCCGTTTATCATGCCGGGAGCGGTGGGCGGCGACGTGGCGCTACCGATGTCGGACAACAATCCAGATAATGACTACGAGGTAGATCTGCCAGACAAGGAGCTCTACATCCGCTGGCTGCAGCTGTCCACCTTTTTGCCCGTGATCCGCTTCACCCATCTGCCGAGCAAGTACTCAGACGAGTCGGTCCTGGAAATCGCTAAAAGGCTGACCACCTTGCGGCAGAAGACAGTTACGCCGTTGCTGAAGAAGTACGCGAACGAGACTCTGGACACTGGTCTGCCCATTATCAGGCCGCTCTGGATGCTGGATCCGGCCGACCCGGCATGCCATGTAGTGGTCGACGAATTTTCCGTGGGCGAGGAGTTGATCGTGGCGCCGGTGCTCTATTCCGGAAGCAGGCAACGGGAGGTCTATCTACCGGCTGGGGTCTGGCGGGACGGCATCGACGGGAGCCTGAGAAAGGGCTCGAGATGGATTCATAATTACAGAGTGGCCGAAGACAAGGTCGCGTATTTCGTCAAGATGCCCGACAACACGAGATTCTGAGGGATGCGACGTCGTCTCGCCGATTTGCGTCACGCATTGCGTCGCGGTGTTGCCAACGAATCTCGAGATCGATGGATTGAAACGACGGTCGTTCGGATGTGGTCCCGCTTCGTACGATGACACGGTTAACGCTCGTATGTCAAACGAATCATCGCAACGAACGTGTCGTGCGATCGGTTTGTCAGCACGATGAGTACCGGCCACTTATCTACGAATTTTAATCGTCTTGAGCCTTCATTGATATGCAAGATGAACTTGTTCTTCGGTAAATCCCGAAAATGCAGAAGAGTAATCGTGCTTTAGCAAACATATATTATTCCATTTGACGAGAACTTTGCAAACGCAATGATATTCAATGGTAATCAATTAAACTGCGATTACAATAACTAGATATCCAACATCGTGATCTTTGACAGAGTGCAGCAGGATGATTAGGTAGGGATAAATACTTAACGGCATGTAAAGCCATGAGAGATTTACACGTGCATAAGTCGAGCGTGCTATTCAATATTCAACGAATATATCGACAAGATTTGATTACAATAAAAGTATCCCATGTTACTATATTCTACGGATATGAGATTATTGTACCATCAGTACCATATTACAGTGCATATCATAGACCAAATATCGATACACATATCGAAAGAATAATCAAGTGTAGATTTAACTTAAGCTGTCAATTATATTTATTTTATCTAACAACGTGGTTTTTTACACCTCTACCAATTCTTCAGTAATCTAATGGTGAAAATGATTTAGGCTATTTTTTTCACACACTTTTTAGTGATAGATGGAAAAAGAATAAAGAAGTGAGTACAATTGACGAGAATGCATCTGAACGCAGTTTTGCGGGGCGCACGGGGCTGTTTATTTTTGCTTTCTTTTTCCAATATTACTACACAAACTTACACGACATGTAAAACAAAACGCGTGAGCATGCAGAAGCGGGACACGAAACCGGGATACGATTCCCGACTGATCAGTCTCACGACGCTGCAGCCACGAAAGGATGTATCTCACGTCACGATTGTCTCGTGGCTCGAGGAGTAGAGATCATTTTCGCGCGTCTGCTGCATCCAGTACTGAATGCAGCGGGATCCCGCCCGGCCCTTGATCCTTGTGCAAAAACATCTCGAACAGGCGGCTGATCTACGGTCGATCGACGAGGAGAAAATCAAGACGCGTGAGGCACACAGGCGACAAATTCTAAGGTATAGTGTATATTTATTATATTATCATTTTTATCATATAGCGTAACATCGTTATTTCTATAATAATAATAATAATAATAATCATAGCACCATGAACACTCCACAGTAAGTTTTTCTTTTTTTTTCCCAGCTTTTAATTCGTTATTCGAAAAGAACGCGACGCACCGATGCACCGCGACGGGTGAGAACCGCGATCGTGTAATCGTATAAGGAACTCGAACAACACCGAGATATCAGGGAACATCCGAGTGACGTCCACGGCGCATCCCGAGCATCCTCGGGACGATCCTTGGATCTTTGTCGATCTCGCACTGTCCGAAAATGACTCAAGGTCTCGCATTACTCTATCGTTGCGCACCACGAGATGACTCTCGACCGGATGCGACTGGACGATTTTCTTCCCTTTCATTTGCTGGCGTCGGAAAACGAGATTCCCGACCTCTCGTAGGGTGTCAGAGAAAATTTTGTAGCGGAGGAAAGGCGCAATCTTTTGATTTTGTCAATTACGTGCCGTCCGTCTGGCTCGTAGAATAAGAAGCGATCGAGGGGGAAAAAAGCGCGAGCGAATCGAGAAACATCGAGAGCAGAAGGGCACTATTTTCCTCCATTGCTCGGGACGACTAACAATTTTTCTCTCTTCTAGTTAAGATTATTATTATTGATTGTTTTTCAGAGAAATTACCGATCCTCACTGTTCTCACACCCGTCGGGCACCGCGATTTTGGGGGTTCGTACAGGTGTTGAGGCTCACGTTTTTTTTACATCTCGCTCTTTCCTGCTTTCTCTCTCTCTCTCTCGCTCTTTCTCTCTTTCTCACGCTCTCTCTCTCTCTTTCTCTCTTTTATACTTCCTTTCTTACGTACTTTGTTCATATATTATATAGATATCTATATATATATAATATATATTTTTCTTCCCTCATATTTCCCGCTAATCTGTTTCGGTGAAAGCTCGTTCCTAATCATTTATTTGTTCTTTTTTTTATTATTTTTATACTTTTCATTTAAATTACTCCGATAAATTCATCGTTTATTTAATCTATCCTGCGCGCATCATCATCGATCGACAATAGCTTCTCATTTAATAGTTTATTAATTTATTTTGTTTTCGTTAAATTGAATTTCATAATTTTAACATCCTACCTAGATAACTGGTCATTATATTACTTGTCAATAAATAATACGTAAATACATAGGTACACATACTTCATCGTCATCATCTCTCTCCCTCCTTTTCTCTCTTTCTCTCTCTCTTTCTTTCCGCCTCCTCTCTTTCTAGCTCGCTTTTAAATACTTTTCTCTTGCACGCCAACTCGCTATCGTATGAAGGTATTGATAAATATAAAAACTCTATTCGTGTATATGGTAGATAGAAAGAGAACGATGATGATGATGATAATGACCCTCTCTCGTGAACGTAATCATAATATTAATAATATTAATAGTAATCGCAATAATAGCGCAATAATATTAATCGCAATGATAACAAGCATAGTAGTCGTTAAAAGTAATCGGTATGGTAATAATCGTATTTATAACAATATCGATCGTTCTCGTCTCTCTTTTCTTCACTCGCTACTCACTCCCTTGCATTTTTTTTTGCTATTACAAAATTCGCTCGTCCTCTCTTTCGCCGATCGGCGAAATAAAAATCTTGGTCGCACATGACTCCGCCGAAAGTAAACGACTCTCCCTCTCTCTCCCTCTCTCTCTCTTTCTCTCTCTCGCTTCATTGACAACTTTCGAATAAACGCGCCTCTACGTTCGGTGAATGCGATAGAGAAATGATCGCGAACGCAAACGAAAGAATGGACAATAAATAATCCGATGAATGACAGAATGGGCGCGTGAGCGACATACGTATACGTATGTACGTGTATGCGTGCGGCAAAGTAAATCTCGCGGTCGAAACGGAAAATCGTGTGTAACTTACAGGCGGTAAAAAACTTACGCACTAATCTATAGAAACCGGGCCCGAGGGCCACTCTATCGCTTCTCGTTTGCAGCGACAAGACAAATCGCTTTCATCGCCGTCTCCCTCCCCTTCCCCCCCCCACCCCTCCCCGATATATCACCGTACCTCAATATCGTCATCAACGATCGGTCTAATCGAGCACCATCGTTTTCGTGTAGGCACGAATGTGTCTCGTATAGAGGAGAGCTTTCTTCGACTTTCATTCGGCGAAATCCGCTTGTGGTCATCAGGATCATGCTTCAACCGGACAACGCAACGTGCGAAAGACGTCCTGATCTCTTAGGCGGTCTCGTTCACAAATGCCATTTTCTCAATTTTCGTGGTAAAATCACAGGATGCCCGACTGTTAGACACGAAGGTTTACCATCTTTTGCGACATAATAATTTCGTCAAAGTGTCATTTTCGTCCGTGGATCTCGCGAGAATAATGAGTAAAGGTGTCCTCTATAAGTTACAGTTCGATATCGCGCTTAATCGCACTTGTCTCTCTGTTACCTCTCGTACATCGATTCTCCTCCCGGCCTATTATATGTCCTCTCGTAATTCCGGATAACGATGAATCACTTCTACGCACGCGTTTCGGCGTGTCCTTAAATCGCAGCTGCGGTCATTTCTCACGTTTTGATTTCGATTCGAATTTAATTAATCCAAGGCGACACGTCGACCTGACATGACGTTATCGGCATGCGACAATTGCGATCTAGGGGCACACAGGGTCGGCACTAGACGGGTTTTTTTAAGGTACAATTATAAGAATGTTAGTAGTCAAGATATTTGGTACGACACCCGGCGTCTCTTTCGATCTCTTAGAAAAGATGGGGTACCGCCCAGACAGCATAAGAGTATCTAAAGATCGTCCGAAGAAACTTACTTTTCCGGAAGTCCTTACGTAATACATGCGTCATGTAAATACATTTTGGATCTTCATGCTGTTTGAGCAAAGTTTAACGCACCGCCATCGACCTCCTCACAACTCGCTGACAGACGCGCACTCCTGCAACAGGAAGCCACGGCAAACAACTTTCCACGCTCTCCCACCGTGAGATAAAAATAAACGGAAGGCCTGTCATCGGTTTGCTAATAATCATGTCCGATTTAGAGGCTCAAATAAGCGCGATGTTCGGCACATTCCCACTCCGTGCTATCAGATCGTTGTCCGTCGTTGTAGTCGTCGCCATCGTTTTGTCAGTTCGTCACGCTTTGGCTTAAAACGCCTAGCTAAGAAAAAGTTAAGTACAAAAAGTTTCATCATTCTTAATCAACTCGAATGCATTCTCGCTGATTTCAAGATCAAGCCAGCGACGAACCGCAAAAATTCATCTGCGAATGGATATTTATTCAAAGGCCAACGATCGGTTTTCTTCAAGCGTCGTCGATACTTCAGAAAACAGCGATCGGCCAAATGTTTCTCACGCCGCTGAGATTGTCCACCAGCGCGACAGACAGAAGTTTGTCCGATCTGTCATTACGTGGACAACCTTACGGCGAGGATCTCATCAGTTTCTTTTGACGCTCTCTCCTGTCTCTCCCTCTCGATTCATTCTGTTGACGCTACGTCACGGTTTAAGCGTCCGACAATTGTTCCTTCACGCCATCGGTCAGTCGAGTGTTCTTTCTCTGTCACCGTCGTTCTTCCCTTGAAGAATTGTATTCTCGACAGATTATGCTTCATCCGATAATTCCTCCTTTATCCAAGAAATTTTCAGATGTCGTTGGGCATTTCCTCGCATCTCGGGGGAAACTTTCCCGCAGCATCTGACCGTGGGATGAGTTGCAAAAGTGCTCGCGCGACGCTGCAACGATTCGATCATTGTAAGATACTCTCCGCCATCGCTTCCGACGTAACCGACACTCGTTTTCCTCGGAATAACGATGCGATACGCCACATGAAAATAATTTCATTTCTTCCGCGAAGGCTACGTAATCGTTTTTACCGTGCAATTCTTGCACGCGTAATATCGGTGTCCGTAAAAAAATTCTCAGTGGCTACAATCGTCTGTTTTTCAAAGTATCGTTCATGTCGCAGCTTCAGAAAACAAAGGCCTTCGCGATCGAAGGCAATTTAAACAAACGATCGAAGACGGACTGTTTTATCCGTCGGATGGACGTTTTGAGACGTGTCATCATCGCCCTGCGCTCTCCTCGCGGCAACGAAACGCTTTTCGGATCTTCCTCTCGACATCATCCTCGTCGGACTCCTCGGCTAGCTCGGGCCGCGCCGTCCGCGCGGACAACGCGGCGACGGAATCAGTCAAGATCGCAATCGCCACTCCTCAGCGCGTATCTCTATTCTCTACGATATAGAAACACGACACACAGATAATTCCTATCCTAGTACTTCTCGATGGAATTTAGCTCCGTTTTACCTATGCACGAATAGACATTTACGACGAGAAAGGGGACCGTTAGTCACGTAACAACGAAGGATAATATTTCGCAGGTGAAACGTAAATCGTTCTCCTCGTGTCTCAACGTCCTTACGTGTCCCGTCGAAGGCCGATCCATCGATCGCCACGAACGATGGATCCCCTTCCGGCACACGTTCCGTCTCATTTGCAATGTGTGCCCGCGTAACTGCGGTACTTTTCTTCTCTCATTTTTTTTCTTTTTTTCGTTTAACTGATAACACTAAATACTACGCGGTGCTCTTGAAGCGGGCAGCTGTGTCAGAGATATTAAAAGTTTTACTTTGATCTGCTGATCGAGGAGAGGATGCGGGCGAGGAGGTCTCGATTGCTCGATCCGCGTTCGGTGGGTCGAAAATTAGAATATCTTAACATCAATTTGTAATTTTCAGTAACTGGTACAGATTGTTACGGGACCGCGGCGCTTGTGGATCGTCGTCGATTCGCGATCGATCGTCGCTCGTGCAACGTATGTAATCATCGCCCCTCTTTGGTTTAGCTTCAGTGCGGAATCTTCGCAAGAACGTTTTCGATTTGATCGATAAGGTATTGCGGGCGGTATCAACGCACTACGGGCTGCGAACGGTGCAGAGTGTGAAAATATAAACATCCGATGGACGCCACTGTTATCAGCGCAGTGTAAGCCTTAATCGAACGTGGAATCTTCCCCCTATGAATAATCTCGGCTTCTTAGAAGTAAATAATTAATTTATACCTTGTATCTCCGTGCAAGAAAAGAAACCCTCGCGATCTTTCCCTTTCTCTTTCTTTCTTCTCGTCGCCCGCACCGTCTCCTCGCACCGAGGGAATAAGGAGAACGTTCTAACTTAGATTAAACAATCCCAATTTGAGACCTGAGCGCGATCGAAAGTCGGTCTCGCTTCCTCGGGACTGCCTCTACATTGTTTGACAGGATTTCTACGATCCTGCTAGGCCGCGAAGCTACGACCGCGAGGGACTCTCGAAAATTCGAAATGTTGTTCGTCTTCGGGTCTCCTAGATGGGGGAGTCAGGAATCACCTGACGGGACGGTAGGTCGGTCTGAGCGCTTGACTCTTTCGTTTTCTTTTCTTTGTTTTTTTTTCTCCCGTAGAAATGGGTTTGAAAGCACGAAACGATAACGCGCTCCGGACACCGCTCAGAATTCGACTATTACGGCTGAGCAGGCTGCCAATCCCTAGAACTCGAGCCTGTAGGCGCTGCAACTAGTCTCGTGATCTTGGAGATTGATGGTACACCGGGACGCGGACGGCGACAAGTCTATGTGATTCGCTGCGAGCGCTTCCTCGTTATCGGCGACCCAGTAGCCCAAAGTATCGGTGTCGTAAGTCGGGATCATGGTTACCTCTGATAAAAAGGAATGTGGAAGTTACATCGGACTCGGAGCATGCATAGAAATTACTCACATTCGAACATTAATAGCACTTTGATCGTGATCAAGATCGAGTTTGGATAAAATATCGAGGAGAGATAATTATGTAACAATATCATTTAAAATTAAATTACAAGCTCAGTCAGCGAGAAAAATATAATAAATAATCAATAATAAATTGATTGCAGTTAGATAATTTGAATTACATAGCATTTTTTAATTTTTAAGTAGGAATAATGTACAAACACAACAATATTCTTTTATCTTTTTTTATCTCTAACTTGTAAATTTTTTAATGAAAGAAATTTCACACAATCTTAATAAATGTTAATAAACTTACCGAGATCCTTGTCCTCCCAAGTCTTTTTAGCTTCTAGCAGAGCATCGTAAACTTCCCGGCTGGGCTCGGTGCCGCTGAAAACGTAGTATCTCGCTCGCACTCTCTTGAAGAATTCCAAAGAAGTGTAATACGAATTTCCGTGATGGGGCACGTACGCCAGATCCATGTAAACCGGCTGAACCTTATTCTTCGAGTCCTTCGCCTTTTTCTCGTTCTTGCCAGGGCTCTCCGAGCGTTTCTTGTTTTTGATATTTTCCGACTGAACCTTCTTCGCTTGCTTCCGCTCCTTTTTCGGTGTACCGGGTGTACCTTTGTTCGATACTTCGTTGGTCACTGGCGCGGGCGAGGGCAGCCTAAGAGGTTCCCCCCAATCTTTTACAACGTCGAAATTCAGAGTATCGGAAGTTGTCCCGCTTGAGCATGACGGAGATTGAGCAGGGTTCTTCAGATTAAACTTTTTGGGCGGTTTAGGAGACGGCAGATCGAGAGGAGTTCCCCATCCCTCTAAGGGATCCTTCTTTGAGTCACCCTTCGAATCATCCTTAGCGTCGTCCCGGAACACAGACGATGACGGGTGATCTTTTTCGTCAGTCGCTTCATGCCGAAGACTACCATTCGTGTACCTGGGCGCTATCCCGCCGCTGAAGGCTCCTCCAGCCTCCTTCATCTCTTTGTGCTCCATCAGAGCCTTATCGAAGTCGAGGTCGGCCTCGTCAACGTATCGCTTCGCGTCCGGCTTCTCGCCATAATCGCCGGCAGGTTCCTTCTCGACTGTAAATCGGCTGTGAATGGGATCGGTGCTTGTCTGCATACCAGTTTCGCCGTGGAAAGTCTTCATGGCAGAAATCTGGGACGGTACCGCTGGCAGCTCGCCGTAGAAGCTACTACTCATCGCGGCTGCTGAGAACTCAATCTGTTTCTGTTCCTCTTGCTTGTCGGAAGCTAACTCATAGAGTCGTGTCGCTTGCGACGAATATCCGGCTTGCGAGGAGAAAGGCGAGCTGGGTGGCTCATCGTCAGAATAAGTATGTCGCTCCTCACTGCTACCCCACGGATGCGTCATGGCCTTGCTGTGCACGCTGCTGTGCTCACTCAATGGACTAACCGGACCGCGATCCTTTTCGCTCGTTGCATCGGATCCTGGACTGTCGCTACGTTGCAACTCCGAGGACTTGATGCTACCGATGATACTGCTGATCGCGCTCTCCGCGGCATCTTTGCTCGGCAGACGTTCGTCCACCTTCACGTCGGTCTTCTCGGCCAACACAACCGTCTCCCCTTTCTCATTTGTCGTCTCTGTGACCTCCCTAGTGGTCGTCACTATTTCACCTTCGTCGGACACAGTCTTCGTGGTCGTGACGATAGTTCGAATCATCTCTCCTGATCTGAATCCTTCCGGTGTGCCCGTCAACGATCGACCTTCGAATCTTCTGTCCGGCGTTGATCTACCCGATGCGTGAGGCTGGACTACGGCGCCGTCTCTGACCAACGGCGACATAGGAATCTCTGGTGTAGACTTGCCGCTAAAGACGATGTCTTTGGGCAGCGATATATCTGGCGAGGACTTGCCCGAATAACTCTTGTCATCAGATATAAGTTCTCGTATTAAAGGGGACACTGGGTGTTCAAATTTGTCTGTGTCTAAGCGTTCCTTCACCGTAGACTCAAGTTTATCCTCCTGTTTGAGGTCAGGTGTTGATTTACCGGAATCGTAAACGGCTTTTATATCTGTTATTCCAGTGCCTGATGTCACAGTCGTGATTGTTTCCTTGACGATCTCCTCCGCAGGTCTGGTGGTTTCCGTCAAATTTTCCAATAATTCATCGCTGGCCAAAGTGTCCGCGCTCTCCTTAATATCTTTCTTTGCGATAACTTTGCCATCGGAGTCAGTGATTGTAGTTACCGTCGTCACGGTTCGCTTCACGTCAGCGCTGGTCGTTGCATCAGACGGACCTCCGTCGCTTAAAACCTTGTAGCTTGTACCTGAGGTGGGATCTGTGTAAACTTTCGAAGGATCAGTTTGCGTTAATTCGGCATCCGGTAATTCCTCTGTCACAATCATTCGCGTTGTTCTCGTCGTAATCGTCTTCACGTATTCACTGGAATCTTCCTTCGAGTCATCCATCTCTTCGCCAGAAACGAGGATCTCGCGTCTAATCACCTGTGTGATAATTTCAGGCTCGTCTTGCTCAGTAATTTCACGTTTGACGACTTTAGTGACCACTTCCGGCTCATCGTGTTCCACAATTTCCCGCTTGACGATCTTGGTAATCGCCTCGGGCTCATCTTGTTGAGTACTTGGTCGTTCAACTCCTTTGGCTATTTCTTGTGATTCTACCTTCTTATCTGTCGCCGAAATCCCCGCAGTTTCTTCAGGCTCGTCTTTATCGATAGTTCCCGCGATCTTGCTTTCTCTCAAAATCGTAACAGTTTGCGCGGATTGCACGTCCTTTGTATCTTTCGCATCCGTTGTGTGAGTCGTGGTCAGAGTAGGCCCCGGTGACGTTCCGGGCGCTTTGCTGGTTGATTCGATCCCGGATGCGGAAGTCGCATCATGCGCAAATTCCGGTGTCGATTTTCCAGACAGTGTGGTTATATGCGTCGTCCGCATCTCCGTCATACCACCGACGAAGGCCTTGTGGAACTGACTCTCATAATTCGACGGATAATCAGGCTTCTCTAACTGCCGCTCACCTGTTTCCGGATACATCCCCATTCTGTACTCGACCGAAGATTTCCTGGCATCGTGCGGCAACTCATAATCTGTATCTGCTGTTTCCTCATAGCGATACACTACCTTATCGTAGTCCTCTTCCTCTTGATAAATTTCCTCATCGATCACAGATTCTCTCGGGATCTTCCTCTTCAGTACAATCTCCTCCACGATCTCTAAGATGATGTATCTGGGTAGAGAAGTCTTGACGATTATCTCCTCGAGTATCACTTCCGTGATCTTTTTCCCTTTCTTTATGTATTCCTCGTCCAGGAGCTTCTCGATTTCCACTCGCTTCTCTTCCGATATCAGGATCTCCTCGTCTAGATGCGGATCCGACCGGGGACTATCCTGAGTCGATTTGTCGGAAGGAATAGGCTCTGGACTCAAACTGGGGCTAGCAGAGAGCCCCGCTTTTGAGTCCCTGCCATGTCGATCGCTCCCCACTGGAGATATCTTGCCATCCGGACTTTCGCCTCTCATGGTGGCACCTGGTTTTTCATGTTTTTTTTCTAAACTATCCAGACTCTTTTCTCCTGATATCTCTAAATCGCCTTCGATCACGGTGTTCCTAGGTGTCTTCGTCTTCACAATGATCTCTTCAATAATCGTAATGAGCACGTATCGTGGCACGGATTTGACGATAACCATTTCTTCCAAAACTTCCGGTGTGATCTTCTTTTTCTTCGCGATGAATTCTTCAAAGATGTACTCTTCTAGCTCCGCTCTTTCTTGCGGTGCCAGCAGTGTCGTTTCTCGTTCTTTGCCGTATTGAGATTCGAACGAGGTATCGTCGTCTACGAAGTCGAAAACCGCGCTTCTGGGCACGTTTTGCCGGTTGATGATGTCTTCTATTATCTCCATCACTATAAATTGGGGCACCGAATACATCATAACCAATCTCTCAATCACCGTCAAACTGATCTTTCGTTTCCTCCCAATAAATTCATCTAAAATGTACTTCTCGATCTCCGCCTTCTTCTCGGCTGTCACTTTAACGACGTCTTCTTCCTCGTCGTCTGATTTTTCTACCTTGCTCGGCTGTCCGACGTCCGGTTCTTTAAAATCAGCAAATCGTTTCTCACGAATCTTCTGCATTTTTTTCTCTATTGTCTCGGGGGAAGTTATAGGACTCTTGTGTTCTACCTTACGTTCGTCCTTCTCGTCAAGTGATTTCTCCATATCGAGATGCGAGACAAAGGCGTCTTCTTGAGGAAACAGCTTCTCTGGCAGCTTATCCTCCAATAAACTGGCTGTTCTAGATCTACTGGCCGGTGTTTTCTCGCCAGCATCGAAGACGCTGTGCGAACGTGAGCGATCCTTTGGTGTTTTGTCCACTGGCGAACTGGCTCGTGACGATTTAGCAGATTCGTCTTTCGGCGTCTTTCCCGCCTCCAAACTCGGTGAAATTGATTGTTCTCCCTTCGCTTCTGGTATTTGTGAAACCTTAATGTCAGTATCATCGAGCCTCTCGCTGGCAACACTTGATGATCTCGATTTGTCCTTTTGATCGTGTTTGTCGTCGGCCGAACTTGCTGATCCTGAAAGATCGGATGATGATTTCGGCTCCGTCTTGTCGTTAATGATGCTTAATGATCTTATCTGGTCGGTAAAATCCAGATCGCCAATTACGCCGGACGTTTTTAATTCGTCAAGATACATTCTTTGCTGATCGTCTGTCAAAAACTTGTTCAAATCAAAGCTTGGAGATACCTTCGCATCGGACTTATCGCTAGCAACACTGGGAGATTTGCTTCGATCAACAGGTGGTTCTAATTTATCAGAAACAGTAGGCGAAGTCGGTTTTCCAAATAAATCCGCTTTCTCACTCGCGACGCTTGATGATCTGGATTTATCGACTGGTTGTTCCATCACATCTTTAAGATCTGGTTTTTCCTTCGTAACGCCGGTCGCTCTCGAGCCATCGGCAGATTTCTTCTCGTCAGACTTTTCGCTCCTGTCGTGCGACTCTTCTACTTTGTGAGGAATTACAGGAGATATTGGTTTATCGATCGGTTCTTTTTGGTCACTTGTCGCACTTACTACACTGGGTGACCTAGACTTGTCAGCCGACGGTTCTAATACGTCTTTCAAGTCCGCCACATCTCCAGCGACACTCGATGGTTTGGAGCTAATGGCTGACTTCGCCCCTTCGCTGGCCACGCTCGGCGATTTGCTCCTATCGCGTTCTTCCCTTTTATCTGGGAGTGTTGGCGACTTTGCTTTTTCCATTGGTTCCTTTTGATCAGACGTAATACTTGCGATACTAGGTGACTTGGATTTATCTATCGATGATCTTTCTGTAATATCTGTTAGATCAGTACTGCTCGGTGATTTCGATCGATCTTCAAGTCCCTTCAGATCACTTGTAGCACTCATCGCGATGGGCGATCTTAATTTGTCATCGGGTCGGTCCGTGACGTCCTTCAAGTCCGGTTTCTCTTCAGCAATACTCGGAGATTTAGAACGATCAAGCGGTTCTTTCTGTTCTCCTGTAATGCTAGAGGATCTCGATTTCTCTATCGGTGTTTCCGACACATCTTTCATGTCCGGTTTTTCGCCGACAATACTAGGCGATTTTGAACGATCTTTAGGTTCGGTAATACCGCTTGTCACACTCGGTGATCTTGATTTGTCTAATGGAGGTTGCACTACATCTTTCAAATCCGATTTATCTTCATCGAGCTTCGGAGATTTCAACACGTCCTTTGATTCTCCGGGTGAAAACTGTTCCTGTAGTGAAATCATCGGGTCCAGTTTGTCTTCCTTAACACTTGCGACACTAGGCGATCGGGTTCTCTCGACTGGTAAGTCCACATCTTTGAGCTCTATTTTTTCTACGGAAACACTTGGTGATCTAGAATGGTCACTTACTTTCTTGCTATCTGATTTATCACTAGCTATACTGGGAGATCTATCTTTATCGTGTGATTCTTCAGTCTTATCAATAGCTTTAGGCGAATCTGGCCTATCAAAAATAGGGGATTTTGGTTTCTCAAAATAACGCTCCGTCACATCTTGAAGATCCGGCTTATCCGCGGCTATGCTCGGTGACTTCGAACGTTCGGCCTCCTTCCTCTCATCGGATTTATCGCTGATCGCGCTCGGAGATCTAGCTTCGTCAATTGGTCCCTTTTCATCGTAATGTTCACTCTCGAAAATAGGCAACTTCTCACTTCTCATTTCTTTCTCAATCATACTAGGCGATTTCGGCTTATCAGTTTCCTTCTCATCAACTGTATCACTTAGAACACTAGGGGACTTATCGAGAGATTTAATATCTTGCTCAGATTTCTCACTAGCAGATTTAGATTTATCCACCGGCTCTTTCTCCTCTGATTTTTGTAGTTTAATGTCTGTGGCAATTTTATCTTCAAGTTCCTTTGATTTCTCGAAAGATATTGGCAATTCTTTGTCTACAATCGGTTTAATTTCTGCAACAGATTCGACAGCAATGTCTTCTTCGGTAATAGGTGCCTTCGCAAAGGACATCTCAGATTTATCTGTGGGCGACTTCGAGAAAATTGTTTCAGCTGGTGAAGCATCCTCCGAATGGAATGATTCGGGTGTCTTCGGAACACTAATCGTTTCTTCTTTCTTAGGTTCTGGAAGCACCTTCTCGATTGGAAGTTTTGGTTTTTCGGCTGATTCTATTGGAGATTTTTGCATTGTTACATCAAGAGGTAATCCTGGTTTTTGTACGTCTCCTTTCATTTCAAGCGGCGAAGGAGAACGTGATTTCTCGATTTTTTCAACAGGGGAACTAGGTTTCTCGATCTTTTCTTTAGCCGGAGATTTTATTTCCTTAATCTCTCCTACATCCTCAGCTGGAGATTTTGGCTCGTGCTCCTGCTTAGGCGACTTCGGTACATCTTTTTCGAAAATTTTATCTGACACCTTTGGCTTATGCGATTCCGGTTTTTCCAAACTGTCTTCAAGATCCTGTGAATCACGAGGACCAACGGGTGATTTTTCCAAGCTATCTTCCGGGGAAATCTTATCCTTACCTTCTGGCGCAGATTTTTCGGAAATGCTGTCCTTCTCGGGAGTACTCACGCCCGAGTGCGAGTCCTTATCTAAGAGTAAAGAATCTTTATCCGGTGTGGATTTAGCAGATACATCTTTAAGAGAATCGTCCGGAGAGGCGGTCTTTGTGAAAGTTATGCTACCAGTTGGACAGATCTCAGTTTCTTCTCTGCCATCCTCGCTACATGCTGTGACCAGCATTCTTGTGACAGTGCCATCGTCCATTTTTGAAGAACTTTCTTGAGCACTCTTCTCTTCTTTAGTTGCTGGAGTTTCTTTAATTCCTGTGGTTAGTAATAGTTCAGATTTCTTATCGTCTCCTGGCTCTACTTTCGGCTCTTGTGTGAAGCCTGTTGCATCTGCGATCCTTGTTTCCGGCTTCATTCCCTCAGCAACTTTTTCAGAAGGATGCACAAAATCTTTTAATGTTTCGCCTTTAATTGGACTTGTTGGTTTTGATTTATCGTCTTTTGTCTCGAGTTGCGGTTCCTCGACTTCTTTTTTGGCCACAGGCTCAATCTCTTTCATTCCAAGCTTTTCATCAATTGCCTTCGGACTTGGTGTAGTTGATTTAGAAATAGTCTCTTTCAGACAAATATCATCCGTCTTCTCCTTAGCCTCGTCCAAATATTTCTCGGTGGTATCGATTTCCAAAATCTCGGACTTTTCAGATTCTCGTTTCTTGTCAGCAGATTTAATGTCCTTCACGATCTCAGGCTCTTCTTTTCCCACCTTCCCTTTGGTTTCTTGCACAAATTTCTCATCCGCCTCGATCACTTCACTCGTGGTATCCTCTGCAGCTTCTTCAACGTCTTCTTTCTCTTTCATCTCGTCCGCTTTCTCGGGAGACGTGACTGGTACATCACGTACTTTATATTCTTGCTCGACAGCTTCGAAGTCGTCAATCACATCTTTCTCGTGCTCCTTCGCAATCGTAAGCGGCATTTCTGGGATCGCTTTCTTCTTCGCATCAGCTACATCGGAAATCCTTCTAGGTATACTGACAAATCCATCCACCTCTTCCTCCTCGACGTCCTCCTCTTCAGACAAGGCCGATAATTCCTCTTCGGTGCTTATTTCTCGCTCGAGCACATGTTCTTTCAACTCAATTGGAGTTTTTTTCTCCTCAGAGCTGGGCATTTCAGTAATCGATTTCCTCTTCTCATCCAGTATTTGCGATTCTGGAATGACTTCCTCCTTGATACGCGATAATTCTTCTTCGGTTACACTAAGTATTGCATGCCTTGGAATTTTTCTCTTAATGATAATTTCTTCGATAATCTCGATAATGATTCTCTTAGACACCTTCTTTTTACCACATATTTCTTCAAGTTTTTTAATGTTAATGTTATCCCCTTTGGTAACGTATTCGTTAACAATGAATTCTTCAACTTCCGCTCTTTTTTGCAAAGTTATTGGTTCTTCCATTTTCGAAGTTTCCACACTAGGTGCCTCAACGGCCGACTTTTTTTTCTCATCCTCAGGTGCCGTCTTAGATGTTGCTAATAATTCTTCCTCCATAACGTCAAGTACCACATTCCTGGGAATGTTTCTTTTAATAACGATTTCTTCGATAATTTCGATGAGGATTTGCTTGGGCACGGTCTTCTGTGCAGAAATTTCGTCGATTGTCGATGCGGTAATCTTTTTCCCCTTAATAACGTACTCATTGACGATAAATGTCTCGATCTCTATTCGTTTCTGAGGCGTAATTAATTCTTGTTCTACAACTGAAACACCAGCAACTTCAGCAACGGAGTCTCGTTTCACAGTTGCGTCTATTTTTGGCGTTATTTGCTCCTCTGCCGACTGCTCTGGCGATTCTTCCGCCTCCTCTTTAAATATTTCCGATAATACTTGTTCAGGAATGTCCAGTATCATATGCCTGGCAATCTTCCTTTTAACAATGATCTCTTCGATAATTTCGACAATGATCTTCTTAGGCACAATTTTCTTAATCGAGATTTCCTCGACGACTTCTACGGTAATTCGCTTCCCTTTAATGATGTACTCGTTAATGATATATTCCTCGACCTCCATTCTCTTCTCAGGCGTGATAGATTCCTCCTGCTTCAGAATCTCGAGATCGTCCACTACACTTTCTTTGGGAAGTCCCTTCTTCATAATGATCTCTTCGATAATATAAATCACGCGTTCCCTCGGGATGTGCTTTACTATAGTGATATATTCGATCACTTCGATAGTGACCTTCTTCTTTTTTGTAACAATCAATTCCTCAATTACGTCTTCAACAGGCGCTTCCCTGCTGAGAACTTGCTTGATATCCTCCGGCAACTTGGGAGGTTCCCGAAAGCCGATCTCCAATCCTTCACCGTATAGCTTGTCCATGACGAATTTCGGTGAAGTCGGGGTAGAACCGGGAGTCACCATCACTATCTCCGCTTTTGCCGGCAAAACCTTTTGCTCGAAGCCGATCACGGGCTCCTCGATTTCATCCTCAAGCTTTTCCTCGAAAGATGGGCGTTTTGCCACTTTCTTCACGCAAACGTTCTCGATACCAGCCTGCATTACATCCACCCGAAACGTGTCATCGTCCGTTGGTTTTTTATGTTGATCGCAAATGTGCTGATCGTCCTTTAACATCTCCTCACAAATTTTTTGCGCGTCCCGCTTATCCCTCGTTACGTCCTTCACGGGTGACGTTACTATATCGTCTTTTGCCTTCACCACTTTTATGCAGGGTTCCTCTTCTATTTCAAAAGTGCCAAACATCTTTTCATGCTGCGCCACAAGTGTGTCGGGTTCCTGAGCACTTTTCTTGGAAATCGTAACATCTTCTGGAGTAATTTCCAGTAATACCTTTTCTTCCAATGTAGCGACCTTCTCCGGAGATAGTTTTTCACTTGGTACAGAAGGCTTTCTTTCCGTCGAAATTGGAGAGATTTCTCCTTTCGATGGTTTTCTCTCTGTCGAAATTGGCGTGATCTCTTCTTTCTTAGAGGCCTGCTCGAATAGCGCTTTGTCGGAAAATAAATCATCTTCTCTGAGAACCTCGGCGACTTTCTTCACGATTTCTATGACATCCTTGGGTTTATCTTCGAGTTCGATGCCGGCAGTGCCAGCAAGGACTTCTCCGACATCTCTGACAGCTTCTTTCATGTCTCGGTATGGTCCCGCTGCTATCTCCTCTTCGTATTCGTTTTCGAATTCTTCATCTTTTGGTATATCAAATTTGACCTTTTCCGGTTCTTTTATATCGAGTAAGTGGCTCTCGATATGTGGCTTTATCCCTTCCAACTTCTCGGCCACCCCTTCCAAAGTATCCTGTACTGCATCTTTCAAAGCGGATGGTGTTTCATGTACCTCTGCTATCTCTTCCTTAATTTTCTCGTCCAACGATTCCAACGAATCTCTTAAACTATCTTTCACAGTTTTGAATTTTTTCGAGGCTTCCTCTAAAAGTGCCTTTACCTCTTCTACATCTTCGCCGACGTCTTCTTCTAGTCCGATGTCGTCTGGCTTCGCCGGAGAAACGGCAGCTGGCAATATGTCCTTCGCAAGGAATGATTCTTCAATTTTGTCTTCTACTTTCTTAATCTCATCCAATTTGTCAGTTGGAAGCTGCTCTTCGATATCCGGCACACTTTGCTTCTGGGCGTCCAATATCTCTTCCTGTATAAACGCGGCGGTTTCCTTTATAGCAGCCACTTTCACGTCAGCCATCGTGGGTTTCGCCTCTTCGAACGTATCAGGTTTGTCAACGGCCTTACCGATTTTAGGAAACATCTTCTCCATATCGACCTCGCCTAAAAGCGCCTTCTCTTGCGCTTTCGGTTCTTTCGGAGAACTCGATTTTGAGGAAGATTTTTCGTCGGAGTCTTTCTCGGAATCTTTCTTTTTTTTAGTCAATTTATCAATACCTTTTTCAAACTTATCCGCTACCTTGCCGAAGAAGCTGAAGACACCTTTCGGCTCTTTTGCGGTCGGAGTAGGTGGTTCTTTACTCTCCTGTGCAGTCGGCGATGGCTTCTCCTCTTTCCCCTTTTCGAAATCTTCCATTCTGTAGAGCTTAGGATCGACTTCTTCATGAACCGGAAGATCGGCGACCTCGTCGGGTGTTTTAACGATATCTCTTTGCAAATTCTGCATTGCCTGGCGAACGTCAAATACCTTGACTTCCGGTTTGGCGGCCGCGGGAACAGTTTCCGGAACGACTTCTTTCTTCGCAGGAGCGTCCTTCTCCTTTACCTCTTCAATAACATGCTTCTCGTCAATATCCTCTTTTATTTCGTCTAACGGTATTCGCTCGTCTTCAGGTAAAGTCGGAGCGGTTGTAGTTGCTCCTGATTCTACCGTCGAGATGCGCTCCTGAGACTCCTCCATCTTTTCGAGAATAATCTCCTTCTGGTCAACGTCCGGCTTCATGTCCGTGTCGGTCGTCTTTTTCTCCGATGAATCCAATTTGTCTGGACTTAGGCTGGATGGCTCCTTCGTGATGTCCTCGCTGTCTTTCTTACCAGAGTCGTCCTTCTCTTCGGCTTTTTGTACGATTTCGGCTGCGGAAGCTATTATCTCCTTTACTTCTTCCTGCAACTGTTCCTTATGTTCCGAAGACAACTCAGCGACTTTTTTCTCTTCTTTATCCGCGACCTTTTCTACCTTCTTTTCTGGACTGTCGTCCTTTCCCTTTTCCTCAGGTTCCTCCTTCTCGCCCTTTTCCTCCACGTCTTTCAACGTCTTCGCCTTTTCCGACTGTGCTTCGTCGAGAACGTGCTTTTGTTCGCCCTCGCCGCTCTGAGCAGAATCTTCGGTATAAACCTCTTCTTTCTCCACGATGAGATACTCGTCCTCCTCAGTTAGTTCTTGACTCGCCTTTCTAGAACCTTCCTTCTTAGGTGCATCCTCAATCTCGGCGGTGACATCCTCCTCCGTGATATCCTCCTCCTTCTTATCAGTGGCCTCGGCCGTGATTTCGTCATCACCCTCGAAACGATCCTCTTTTCGCGTCTCCCCGATTCTTTCCGCCTTCTGTAAAACAGCTTCAATTTCTTCCACCACCTCTCGCTCTTCCTTGAGATCCGCCAGTACTTTGCTTTCTATAGAATCTAGCGATATATCCTCAGATTGTTCGACTAAGCTCTTGTCGATCGGTTTTACAGCTTCTGGTTCTATGCCAGACGGAGTGGAGACCGTGGACGAATCGGTGGTGCCTTTGTCGCCCTTCACCTTGCGAATAACGCCGTCTTTATCGGACTTTACAGAAGCGGTTGGAGTACTGCGAGTAGATTTTGCCGGACTGCCCGGCATACGGGCTTTATTGGGACTGGCCGGTTTCGCGCGACGGCTGATCGGCTTCCTGTCCATCGGCTTAGGTTTCGCGGACACCTTGACGGCGGGCGCCGCGGTATCCTTCACGGTGGACTTCTCGACCTCGGACTTCTTCTGTTCCACGACTTTTCTGTTGTTGGCCTCCTTGGCGCTCTTGGCTGGAAGACTTGGAGCGACCTTAGACGCCGGTTTTGCCTTCGGCACAGCTTTTGTTATCTCCGTCTTTGTTGCAACGCCGTTTAGAGTCTTCTTCGGAGTAGTCGGGGAGGACTTCACGGCGTCTCTCTTCTCCGAGCCGGAAGGTTTAGCTTTCTTCTCGCTCAGCTTCGGTTTCGGGGTTACCTCGCTCTTCTTTAATTCGACCTTCACTTTACTTTCTTTCGGTTCTTTCTTCTTTGGTTCGGGCTTGGATTTCGGTTCTTTCGGTTCTTTAGATTCTTTAGTCTTGTCGGGCTCTGATTTGATTAAATCAGTCCTTTTTACATCGTCTTCGCGTTTTTCCACTTTAGCTGGTTCTTTTTTCGGTTCCTTCTTTACCTCCTTCAGTTCCTTTTCAATCTTCTTACTTTCCTTCTTGCTCTCCTCGGTCTCGAGCTTCTTGTTCTCCACAAGTTTCCTCGTTTTTATCTCGATTTTAGGTTTACTCGTAGGTATGATTGGCGTCGATTGAGGGGTACTCTTGGGTGCAGTCGTCTCGTCCGCGGCCTTGATGGATTTGGGTTCCGATGGCTCTCTCTTCTCTTTCTTCGGCTCCGAAATTTTCTTGGGCTCCCTCTCGAGAAGACTGAATTTCTGCTTGGCCGGTTTGTCTCTGAGCGTCGCCAGGGACACTGACGGTGACAGTGTCTTCGCTGAACATACCGGATGCTTCAAGAAATCAAGATGTTTCAATCGTTCGAAACCTTCGAAGATCTTATGCTGCGGCGTGCTGCCGGGAAAGAGAATCCGCGTGATATTGTCCTCGGGATTGGCCGGCTGCCAAACCAGAAGCGCGCATATCGACACGAGATTCTGAATCGGAAATGTGAGATTATTCGAATCCTTCTTGTGAGACCCTGCGAACAGCTTCGAGTCCGACGTGTGCCACTTGGCCAGGAACTCGCGCACCTCGCGACTGTCTTTGTTCGGACTGAGCACGTACATGTCGAGCGTGCCGTGGCCCACTTTGTGATAGAGGTTGATCGGCTCAGGATCTCTGTAGCAAGGATGAGCACGGAGATTAATGTGTCGAAGATTCACCACCATCTCTTGACCAATGTCAGTGAGGTTGAAGACGAGCGGATCAATGTCCTTATCGCCATCGGGTGAATTTGATTGTCTTCTTTCCTGCATTGTGCAATTATTAACAATTATTAGGGAGAATTTGAATTATTAAATTGTAAACATATTGAGAAACTTTCTTTTCAAAATTGATTGTATTATAACAATGACTACTTACAACTAAGTTACAGAAGAAATGGCCGATCTGAGGGTAGACGTGCATCTCCTTCTTCTTGCGTAGAACGCTAAACATGCCGCCGATGTTACTGTTATTTATCCTAGTGACTAGAACAGCATCCAATCGATCTAGATGTCTAGTGAAGTCCCAGAAGCATGCTTTCCTGGCGAAGCCGCCGTCGACGAGCATGTTGAAGCCGTTTATACCGAAAAGCGCGGCGTCACCTTGCCCACCGGGGAAGACATATAAGGTCGGATGGCTAAATCTAATATTTCCAACGACGTCGGACGATTCCATGAGCTGGTCCAGTGTTTGCGGCACGAGATACTGTCCGATGTAATTCGTAAAACTCGTGATGGCCGGTACGCCAGCTGTGAGAACGTCGTCGGGGTTCACTCTGACTCTGCAAGATCTGCAGATACGAAAGACGTGAATACATATCCAATTATTATATCCAAGAAAGAAGTAGCTTCTGTTGCGCGACGTAAATTGAAATTGTGTAGGAGAAAAATGTACGAGAGAAATGCGCACCTGCAACAAGTCTCCTTCGATAGTCGACTTGTCGTCCAATCGCCGACACCCGCGCAATGTATATCTACGGTAACGCTATTTTCGTAGGCACGAAGGACTCTTTGCACCTCATGTTCACTGAACGCATCCAGAAAGTCTGCGAGACTGAAGGTTCCATCCTGAATAAGAGGAATTGATTTCTAACTCAAGACGAGTCTCCGCATTTCGCGCGACTATTAATTAACGTCTTCGTAACTATTAACGGTCGAATATATATTCGCTCGAGGTGTAAGTACCTGCAGTATCCAGGAACCATTGCCACCGAATGTGTATCCAGCGTGTATGATGTGCCGATGCTTCGTGAAGCTCGCAAGGAGATTGCGAATACACTGTAACAATGTATTCGTCTGCGGGTGAATGAGAACTTCCGTTACGAGGTTCTCGGTGGCATATTGGATCAACCTTTCGCCTGGAAATTTCATTTCACCGATTACTAATAAATTGCACGGCAAAATAGTGATTAATTGTGTGCAATACGACATAAAACAAATCAAATCAACATGTTTGTGACAACAATTACCGTTTCTGGCTTCCTCGCCCTCCGGGGCTTGCGCTACTAAGGCCAATAATTCCTTCTCCAGGTCGACGTGACAACTGTCTTTGTCCCATGATAGAAAACCTGCAACAATTGAAGAGAGAAACGGCGATCGTTCAGTACAGCTGCACTTTGAAACGGGATCTTCTTCATACATGTTAAGCAGATACCGATATCGAAAAACTTGCGGAATGGAATCTGCATATAAATCACTACTCTTCTTCGAGATTGGGTGTAACTTTAGGTATTCCGGTGACATGCTCTCTCATGAACTTGGCCAAGCTTTTCCGAGCCTGGCCCTAATATTTTGAATGGAAAGTAGGTTGTTCTCGTTTTAGATCATCACTGTATATGCGCGGCCACGTTAAGCTAGGAAAGACAGCTCTCCGAAATCGCTCTAAGGGGATATCTCGAAAGTGGACAATGGGGGGGGGGGGAGGAGTACATAATCCGAGGATTACGATTGTTACTCAGCTCGGTAATTCTTTTAAGGAAGCCTTTTTAAACGTTGCTCAAGATATTTCAAGATATTGCTTAAAGGCTATCGAAACTAATGCTTAAATTTTTTTCAAACACTTTTTAAACTACTCGCCCGAGTTTAAGACATTTTTATAGGTGAATGGGGTCATAGCTGCGTATAAATGTGCAAGACTGCAGCCGTTTGGCTTCGTAGAATAAGGGTAGTTCAGCCACCGAGTGATGTAAGGTTAAGGTTAAGACGTTAGAGTCTGTCAAGACCAGTTATAGATTGATTGATGAGAAAAGTAAATCAGGTATTGCATTACAAGCACAATTTTCTTTCATCTTTATCCAACAAACGTAAAGCGTATCTGACGCAGATTGAAATAGATACGGAAAATAATACATCTCTTTTGTGCGGATTTACAATTACAATTATAATTAGACGGTTTCATGAAACGTTTAAAATTAAAAATTAAACAAACGCTATTCGTATTAAATTTAATTAATTAGTTTTATTTAAGGCACTCAAGGTGAGAAAAATTTATATTGTGAGATAAAAGTAATACGATAATGGATTAAATGTTGCACAATTGTCCGTTTATCAATACATTAAAATGCTAATAAATGGTTTACGTAGAATCTTTTAAATTATTATACGAACGCGGAAGAGCAATTATATACGAATTACATTACGCGCGCTTGATATAAGAGAGGAAAAGAGAAAGTGCATCTCAAAACTTAATTGAATAATTAGGATGAATGAATCAGCAGTCGCAACTTGTCATAAGAGTTGCTTGGGGCGGTCGTTTTATGACGTCACCAACACCGCACCCCGTCACGTGGTTCCTTACCAGCTGGCAATCGATCGTCGCACATCCTGTACCCACCCTCTATTGCCAACTTTAACGCAGAGATACTCTACTTTTTGACACGGTGCAAAAAAATTCCCGACGCTCTCGACGTTCCTTTTAGATCAATTTGGAAATAATTGTATGGAGACTGCCAGAAAACATTCACCAAGTTACAGGCAAAAGAAGTTATTCTCACAAATATAATTTGTATATTAATATGCTTTGTAAAAAAATATTTCCTGAATGCGTCGAACATGCTTATTAAACTACAAGTTATTGATAACGGCGTCTACATCTCTAGAATCGATTTTCCGCGATTTCTGTAAATTGATTTTGTCGCTCAATATTTCACGATTCGATCCAGGTGCAAGGCTTTTCTTAGACCGCCTTTCGCAGGCGGAAGTATTGAAAAAAATTACACCCGGCATCTCGTATGGAATTAAAGGATTGATGATGCAGCACAATGGAACGTAACTCGTTGCCAAGGGAGCACGGACTCGCTCTCGCGTAATTCTATACTGGCGTGTACACAGACAAGTCTGGTTCGAGACGTTGCCTGGCAACGTCGTAGTATCAATCAATGCCGAGGATAGAGAGGAGCCGGGGAAAATTAACGAAAACGAAGGGGAAAAAAAGGAGATGAAACGAGCAGAAGGCGTTAGTCGGTGCAACGAATTCCGCGTGGCTTCCACGCTTGCCTCCAATTTTATCCCGCAATAAGTAAATACGTGTTGCATACTTTCCAGTAAACGTGGACGCTATTATTAGCCGCTCGACTGACGACATATATATCGCATTTTCGCCAAATTATACTGGAAATATGCCGCAAATTATGAATTATGCGAACGCGGCCGGATTACCAAAACGAACCGAACTCGTCAACTGACTGATCAGTTGCATTTCATTAAACTTTCCGTGCGTTTCTGTTATTACTGCTGTTAAGGAGTCAAATCTCCAATCGATTAAGCAGATTAGCATTAAAGGAGAAAATGGTTTATGCAATAAATTGTAAAGATTGCATGTCCATTATATCAAGTCTTATCTGACAGCGAAAAGTCACATTGTCAGAGCGAAGCATGCTCGACGTGTCAAACTGATAGGAAGCCCCAAAGCTGATACGAGAGAAGCCGTTTCTTAATGCTTACAGCCGGTTACTTAATTCTCTTTGACCCCCACAGGTTTTGACTGCAATGTCAGTATCAGATACATCGTGACCCAAGCCCGAAAATTTGCATAGTGCGAGTCTCCTTAAGAAACGTTCAGTCGCATTCGATTTCAACATACAATAAGCGCCGCCAAGGCTCGAGGACGATTTTTCTAAATGCAGATTTAGGGTAAACGAAATTACGATTTTTATTTATGATTGTGATTCCTAAGGCGTAGCGTCGTGAACAATTTTGACGAATTGCGACGTCGACGGATTATAAAATTGGATTAAAATTTTAAATCGCATCTTTATCTAAAACGCATTACGTTTACATTTCCACTCGTTCGGACAAATATATTGTTTTTGCGCGTAGTGAAGCAGATAAGTCTCCGTTTCTCTGTTCATTAGCGGAATAGAGCTTCTAATTGGCGTCAATGTGCTCTATGACATATTACCGCATTACCGCATTGGCTGCTGATTTACCATTTTAATGAACTCAATTGCTCAAAATGGCCAGCGTCGACTCGTCGATGACTATGATGTCTAGTCATGGTAATCATTTAGTCAATTAACGGGACCCAAATACCGTTAATTAAACCGCGCGGCTTCCATGAGAATATCGTGCGAATCGGTTGCTCGATGACTCGTTAAGTAGTGATTAATAGAACCAGCAACAGAAAGAAGAAGAAATCAATTCTCGGATACCCCCAGAAAGTCTCCTCTCATTTTTCCAGACTCCTTTCCGACTGCGTGCGCTTTTATGGATCAGTAATCTATTTCACCGGCGGCAACGCCGAAGATAAATACGGCCTGCAATTGCAGTTAATTGCAAGACAGCTTGGCCGTTAATTAAAACAGATGTTTCAATTCGATCGCCCGCGGGCATTGCATCGCGAATTTCCGTTTGACGGGATGAACCATCGGCGTCGGTCGAAGAAACCGCGCGGAATCCGAAATTCGGAGTCAAGTGAATGGCGCGTGAAGCAAAAAGAGAAACCGGCGAAAAAATTCAGCCGCGCGTTTCGATGAGTGGAACGGAAAAGCGTTGCGACGTCAAAGTGTCGCTCGAACAGAATCTGTCGTCGAGTGGACGAAAAATGGCGTTAGATAATCCGTCAACAATTTATCTCGACAAATGGCAAAGGGCACGCGCGCTCTACCGAAAATCCCCCGGGCTTTAATCGTGAGAACGATGTTTCGTCATCATGAGTACGCGGATACGTGTAAGGGTGCGCGCACACACACACACACACACACAACGGCACACATTTCCGCGGAACAGACCGCGGACGTCGGCGTATCCAGCGTATTCCGCGGTTTCCTGCTTTAGAGCATGACGTTCTGACACGTTCGCTTGTATATCACACGCACAATGGGGATGTATCTAAATAGGCGATCGTCGTGTGAAAAGTGTGGGAGGACTATTCACGATCGACCGCGGTAACATACGCGGCGCGCGCCGCAATATATTACATTTACAAAAAGGGGAAAAATCCAAGGCCAGGGCTTTATCTAACAAGGTTTCCTCTCTCTCTCTCCCTCTCCGTATGGATAATTCGATCCCGTCGACTCCCTGACCTATAATATTTCCACGCCGAGGGATATTGTTTTTTCTTTCCCTCTCTCGAACTGGCGTCGCAAAAATAAAAGTGCGCGAACGTTATTGTTGGATGTAATTCGATGTAACCGCCGCGCGAGAAATTGCCGCCGGTCTCTCGTCCCCGTAATCTCTCGCGACACGCAGAAGAAATATTTGACACTCGATGCCCCTATGGATTAGCAGCTTGTGCTAAGTATAGACAAAACTGCGCGCGGTTTCCTCCCGCGGCCAGCTCCCGCCTCGCGCATCCCTTAAAGAGCACTCGCGCTTCTCGATTTGCACGTTTGACTTTCCTTCCCTTTTCTTTTTTTTTCCTTTGGCCGACGACGGATGCCGGGAATGCTGGGTTTGTCCCGACTATGTTTAGAAATGGTTTCTCGTTGTCCTGCCCGCAACGCGCCTACGTGTCACGACGCGTGTAGCAAGTACACGTGTAAAGTATCGCTTCAGCGGTCGGGGAAAAAGGGATCGTTGCGCATAACGCGTGCACTGGTAAAATTTTTTTTTTCCGCAAAATTGCATCACGAGAATCTAATTGTAAGATGCCCGGGAAGAAACGGGACAAAATCTCATTGTACACGTCTCAATCATGTAATATCTATTTATATCTCGCGAGATCCAATTCTAAGAATCATCAGATCCTCACACTGAGAAAAATGTCCGATTAAATATAATCGGATAATCCCAGTTACATAAAAACAAACGGATGTATCCGATTAAATCCGATGGAAAGTGTGGTCGGTTTTTCAATCAAATTTCATCGTTAACTGCATTTCATCGGATGTATGTATCCACACTGAAAAAAATTTCTGGTTGAATATGGACGAATCAGATAATTCCTTTAGGATTTACCAGAATTCCTTTAGGATTTACCAGAATTCCTGTAATCCTACAGAAATTCTGGTAAATCCTAAAGGAATTCTGGTAAATCCTAAAGGAATTATCTGATTCGTCCATATTCAACCAGAAATTTTTTTCAGTGCACTATTTCCCGGGTAAGGAAAAGAAGCCGCGCGCTTTGGCA